AAAGAGCTCAATACAACCGTAGAGCAGACCTAGATAAACCTAGTGAGCCAGACAAACCTACCCAGATTTCAGCTAAGCGGATTGTCGGGGAAAGCTGGCTTTCCCCGACGATCCATTTAGCTGAAACCTATGTTTGTCTGGCTCACTAGGTTTATATATATATATATATATATATATATACATACAGACAACACCATCACTTGATAAGACATCAGAAGTGTTGAAACAAAATGGCTATTTTTGTAGTGATTTTATAACATTTTTATATAATTTTTTGAATAAATGAGCATATATATATATATATATATATATATATATATATATATATATATATATTATATTAAATTGATTTAAAATGTTTTTTTTTTTTTTTTTTTTTAAAAAAAAAAAACATTTTAAATCAATTAATTTATATTAATGCTCTGTAAATTTACATTGAGCACTATTTTGTAAAAATATCTATAAGAACACGGATTATATATCTTACTGTTCTTTCTTTATATATATATATATATATATATATATATATATATACACAGGGTGTATCAAAAATACTTTTACAAATTTTGTGGGTGGGTTCCTTGCACCAAAGCAAGGACAAAAGTCCATATAAACATATGTCTGCAAATGCTTTGTTTTAGAGTTAAGTTTAAAGAAAGTGTTTGGTAGATAACACTATGTTGCAATGTAGACTAAATTTCATTTGTGTACATTTGTGGCTAGTCTGTCTTCAATGTTTAACATGTGTAGTAGTGAGTTAACTGAGAAATGTTCCATTTACTATGGAAGGATATATTGTGTGCAGGCAGATATGATTTTTACATACAATAGCGTGAATGGTAATGGATGTGACGCTGCATAGCTGTATCAGATTGCGTTTTCAGACTGCAGGCTGCTGAGTCATCCAAAATTTGCTCCTGTTTATCGTCACATTCCTGAGACAGGAACTGTAGCACCACAAACTATAGATCAAGTAAAATTGAGGTCTGCTCATACATAGGTGAAGAACATATTCTACAGGCTGTCAGAGACGATCCATGTATCAGCTAGCATGTCATACATCTCATAGTACCACATGGAGGATACTCCAAGAGCAGCTCCTCTATCCATATCATTTGCAATATGTGCAGGTTCTTTCTCCCTCTGATTACTCACCGCAGGAGAACTTTTGCCGATCGTTTATTACACAAACTGCCAATCTATTGTTTGCCTCTTCAATTTTGTTTACAAAAGATGGCAAAATGTGGAAGAGATGGAACAACAAATTTACGCAACCAACATTTGTAGGTGGATCAGAATCCCCATGGTACAATACAGGCTAGACACCAGCATCAGTTAACGATTAATGTGTGGGCTGGAATTGTAGGTGACTGTCTGGTAGGTTCATATGTTCTCCCAGTATGTCTTCCAAGAGCTGTCTACAGGGACTTTATTTCGAACACGCTCCCAGACCTGCTAGATGATGTATGCTTGCTAATACAAAGATGTATGTGGTTCATGTTTGATGGGGCTCCAGTACATTTTAGTCACATTGATGCACTGGCTGACATCTACCATGAAAGAGGGATAGGTAGGGGAGGATCAGTTCCATGTCCTGCATGTTCCCCCCCAAACCTCAGTCTTTTGGATTTTTATTTGTGGGGTCACTAAAATAATTGGTTTATGAAGCAGACATTAATAATGCAGAGACTCTTATTCAACTTGTCATGGGGGCCTACAAAACCATTCAACGTCAAGTACAAGTATTTGAAATGATCTGCCAGTCAATGATCTAACATGTGCATGTGTAGAAGCAAGCAGTGGACATTTTAAACATTTGTTATGAGTTGCTGTGTTGAGGTACAATTGATGGCATTTTGTGCATACATTTATATGGACAGTTTACCTCATTTTAGCGTGAGGAATCCACCCCAAAGTTTGTAAAAGTATTTTTGATACAGCCTCTCTCTCTGTGTGTGTGTGTGTGTGTGTATATATATATATATATATATATATATATATATATATATATATATATATATATATATATATATATATTTTCTTGATTTGAATTGCTGTTTATAGTGATTATCTATTTTCCTTTTTCCTCCCATTTTAATAAATGTGTATGTTTTTATAGCATTAATTAAATGAGTAACACCAATTTTATTCTGTTTTTTTCCCCTCCTTAGTTGGGTCTAGTGCCAATATGGTTGATTCAGGTTTTCAAAAATCTCACGATATTGGGATTAATAACAAAACAGAGTGTGGACAAATTTATATGTTGTACACTGCAGACAAGATTGTATAATTCTTATCTAATTTGTTTCCTTGCGTCCAGTACAACATTGGGAATCAAGGCTGGAATAAAAATACCTTCAATAAAATGACAAACACTTGAAAACTCTAACAGGTTTATTGAATATAAAGACTGGTGAATAAAATGTCTCAATTATCCACAGTAAAACTATGTCTATCTCTCGCTGGATGCTGATTGAGAAATCTATCAATAATTGCTATAAAATGGAAACAAAACTGCCTGTCTTGCATGTGTCTGTATGTTCACTCTAGCCATGAAAATGCAGATGTGTTATTATGAGGTGAAGACAGTTCATGCAACCTGGGTAAGTGCAAGCCAACTTTCTTTGTGTGTTACTGGGCCTTGTGGGCCATTGTTTATATATCACCCCCTCCAAGAAAAATTTGACATTGATAAATCTAATTTCTCTACTTCCAACCATCCTAATCTTAGGGAATCTTTTAATAAACAGATGGCTCTCTTTGTTTAAGAATTTTTAGTCCTCTCTTTCTGTAAGGATAATGGTGTTTTGGGCAGACAGTATTAATATAAACAAACCCCAAGTTTGGGAGTTAGGCATAACCCATATAGCCCTCTTTTATTTAAGAGAATTTAGGTCACTCTTTCCTTTAAGAATATAGACACTTTTGACAGATAGTATTAGTGTAAACAAACCTTGAACTTAATTTTTCAGGATTAAAAATCCAACACATTAATCATGTATTGTCAAAAGAAAGTGGATCTGTTGGGGAATCTTTGGTTTTGTTTATTTTTACTAAATTTTGACTAGTTATTTCTGAATTTGATTCTCTTTGGAACCATTCTTAAATTCATTTTATTGTTTAAAACGTAATTATTAACTTGTTTTTTTTTCCATTTTCTTCTCATCCATTTAATCTACTTTTCTGAGAATTTAATAATTAATAATTTTATCCAATTAGTATTCCCTCCAGATCACCATTCAGTGATTTAATGCAATTAAACATTTGAACAGGGTCAGTGCTCTGTTACTAATGTACAGTTAATATATCTGGATTGTAGTAAATGATCACAAATGCTATATACAGATTAGCAAACATGCTGGTTCAAAATAAGGGACTTATAAACACTACTCAATCCTCAATATCTGTTTGTATTTCTGGGATGAAGTATTGTAACTAATTACACTAAACAGTGTAATTACTCAATCCTCATCTGTATACCCTCTTTAGGTGTTGACTGCACTCTTGTATGCATACAACAATGAAGATGGCAAATACCATCCTGCAATACATTATTCCATAATTATTGCACTAAGATGACAATAGTTCTAGGTAGGCTAACTAAACAAATCTGGTGTCATCTAATCATTTCCTGTATATGTTCAATGGAGAACAGGTCTAGTGATTGTGCTAGTCAGGGAATTTGTTTAATATCTTTCAGGGCATGTTGAGTAGCATAAGCATCTTGTAAATGCAATTATCCTGTTTGAAGACCACCTCATCTTGTTGCAGGAATAGCAGCAGAACATTGAAAAATATTCTGAATTTAGAAGAACAAACACCAAAAGTGAGTTGTAAGTTAGTGTACTCAGCAACATAATATCCTGGGGTTAGGCCTGTGTGTCATGGTTGAATACACTTTGGACACTGTCACATTCTATGTGTATGTTTCACACACAAATGATTATCATTTGCATGAAGCTAGAACTTTCATCACTGAACATTACAGAATGCCATCTACTGCATGGCACTTAAATTTATGAAGTTGAGGTACAAAAGAGGAAAGCTCATTAGAAAAAATGAAAATATTTATAGAAAAGCACAGGGAAGCTATGTTATAGTAGTGGGAAAGTGGCTGAAGCCGAAATACCAGGTTAGAGCTGATAACATTGCAGATTCTTTTTTGAATTTTGTCAAGAATCTTGATATATTCTTTGCTATGGTATCTAGACTTTTTAAATTTAAGCACAGTACTAGACTGTCGACAAGGTCTCATCAATTTATGATTAAATTGGCTAGATGTAACTTAAGTTCTGTGCTAATAGTTTCTTTTCTTGCATTTCTTGCTTGTGGAAGTCCCATCACGCTCCATGCTTTCCAGTCAACTTTAATTTTCAAAAATTTAAATACAATGTCGATGGCTATCTACAGTCATTATGATTACTATTTTTTTTTTTCTTCAATAATATTTCTGTTTTCTAATTCTTCCACACCCAGCAATCCCTTGTGTTTTAGTGACTTTACTGCCTTGCTTGTGGAGAACTCAATTAAAAAAAAAAAAAACATATATATATATATATATATATATATATATATATATATAAAAATAATTTTCCACTCAAGTCTGTTCCCACTGACAGCTAACATGGAAACCAGAACAACACTTCACTCAGGACTCTGTTTCCTGCACACCGTAAACAATAGTATTATCGCTCTTTCTCTGGAACACTGGTATAACCTTCACCAATCTCAAAGAACAAAACTACCCGGAAACGAAAAGTTAGCTTTTTTTTTATCCTTCTTTGGTCTTGGGCAAGAAACTGAGATCTCTTGCTTGTGTTAGCCTCATTTTTGCTGATAGCACATGCGCTTTGTCACTTCAGTATTGATTTGCTAGATTTTGCTTCACACGTTTATGATGTCTACAAGCACATGTACAGATAATTCACCTTCTCTTGCTTCGGCAAGGTATATCTCCACCACATTGTTCTTCTCCAATTTCCATCTTTTTTCTTTTTCAGTGAATCTATGGAATTAGTTCTCCCAGATGACCTGAGACCCTTTGCCATTCTACAAAAGAAGCTAACAACCTTACTGCACTTTCAAAATGGTACTAGCACTGTGGGAACTGGACAAGAACTAACCAAAGGTATTAGTTATTGAATTTATTTGAATAAAAATTAAATTTTTCTTTTTTAAATTTCTTCAGCTGCTAATTTTTTATGCTTTAAATTTAAAGTCTAAAATAAACTGAGCAATTTTATAACAGCCATGTTAATAAAGAATCCAACTTCTACTTTGGATTAAACATGGTTATTTCAAATCTGATCAAATGAGATTCAAAATAACATAATTTGCACTTTTCTTTGAAATATCTCTGGGGTACAATGTGTTTATTAACTTGGAAACTTATGTAACCTATTTGTAAAATTATGAATTTATCTTTAGCTAAATCGTAAGGATTTCATCAAAAACAAAGTTCACACTCATGATAGCAGTAATGTTGATGATGCTGGAAACCAAAAATATAAGAACATTTTCAAGATGTGACCCAAGAACTACAGAAGCTGTAGAAGATGAGGGATCAGTGTTATGCACATTAATTGATACATTTAGAATAACCTTCATGATGATAGAACAACCCTTATGACAATAGGGTGGTGATTCAAGAATGGATTGAAACTTCAAATGCAGGCAATGCTAAAGGAGGAAGGTACTTGGAAATTTGAGAAGACTTACTTTAAATTGATCTTCAGAATAATCACCAGTCATCCTGTGTGAACATGCAAATTTATGAAAAATAATTGTCACACCTCCAAAAGCCAAAAAGATATTTTCCTACAAACACATAGACGGATGTAGCCAAGATTAAAGAATTAGTTAACTTAGACATATAAACATTGTAACATAAACAGTGCTTGGATGTAGTTTCAGTAAAATAACAAAACCAGCAAATCAGAATTAAGGATTCAATGTTGGCCAATCAAATGAAAGATGAAGATTCTAAAATTTTGTTCAAGTTGAGCCTATCTCTACCAATATAAGCAGAAGAGAATTAGAATTTACACAGTAGTGTGATGGAGAAAGCAACCTCATCAACGGACCAGGAATATTACATCGGCACGATGCATCAGCACTGTAAAATTCCACTTACTATTACTAGACGAGGAATTTGACATGCAAATTAACTTCACCAGTAGATAATTGGATTTATTGGAGCCAAAAAGGAATGATAATGATATCATAGAATTTCAAACAATATTCTTTTCTCAATTGATAAAGAGTTAATGATGGACTTTAGGTTGTTTTGGACATCACTTGCCATTTTGACCTTTTTGCACTGATCAGCCTTACTATCAAGGCAGGAGTAAATTGTTGCCTCATCAGCATAGATACTAAGTTGAGAACTGATGTCATTGGGAAGGTCATTAATGAAAATTAAAAACAGAGTAGGGCCAAGGATGAAGCCCTGGGGAACATTCGCATTAGTACGAAAGGATGAGAGGCCATTCAGGATAATTTTCATTTCATGATTTGATAGGAAAGACTGGATTTGTTCAAAAAAGTGTACAGAGACATTGTAACTTTTCAGCTTGTGGAGAAGACCTGTATGCTAAACCCTGTGAAAGGCTTTCGAGATGTCCAATGCAACAGCCTTGGCGTCACCATTTTTATCTAGAGAATGATAGACTCTTTTCACAATTATTGTCATTACATCAGCAGTTGACATGGAGAAATGGAAGCTATATTGATTGTCTGGGAAAAGGCCCTACAATGAGAGAAGATGAACCAAATTAACATTGATTAGGGTTTCTTGGTGTTTCCCCAAAAAAGAGGTAGAAAACTAATAGACTGATAGTTGGAAAGGTTGGACAGATCACCAGAGTTCTTAAAATCTGGAGCAACAGATGATGACTTCTAGCAAGCAGGAGGCAATGAGACATTTATTTATTATGGTGTTTTGCCAATATCTATTTTAATATTTTTTCTTATTATCAAAACCAGAAAAGATGATGTTATAATGTTAATCAACTAGTTAAATGCCTTAATAAAAAGTTTATTATAATTTTATTTTAGTTTTTGCAATGTTTTGGCAAGAATTGTTGAAGTCTTCAAGTTTACAGCACAATAGTAATTTTTTGATGATTTAGATTACATTTTTTTGCATTACAATGTCCTTTATTGTACCATACTATCATACAAAAAAACAGCAACTATTGTATAGAATTGTAAACTGTATCTTTAAGAGGACATTGTCAATCATTTCTCAATTGATGGAGACATACTAGCTGACCATGTTAGTCCAGAAATTGTAACATTTATTCATCACATTGTAATGTACTTTACATTAATACTAACTCTGTCCAATAATACTTGTTATATTTGCAGATATATTTAATGTACATGATGAAAACTGTCTCCAGCAACTGACCACTACACTGACCAGTGTGTTCACTGCTGGCATTTTGTGTGATGTTGATGTGGTTAGTTGGCTTTTTCCTGCTCTGGTTGACTCCCTGAAAGAATTAGTACAAACTTTCTCAGCTAATGTCCCAGCTGAGTTCCACTTGCCTGCTCCGCCATATTACTTGTGGCAGCCCACAGACACAATTCAGGTACGTGATATTTAACACGAGACTTTTGCTTGCTTTCTCTTTCTCTGATGTTTGTTTATAGAGGAATCAACTTCAACAACATGCTATTGCAATTTTAAAAAAAACATGACATTGCAATTTGGTCTGATTTGTGGCTGAAGTAATTGTATACTTCTTACTAGTGTCAGTCAGTGATGTTGGAGCTCAGGTAAAATTTGAATATTCCAATAATCAAGACAAGCAGGCCTCTATATGTATTGGAAGATTAATGCAAGATAATATTTCCCTCCTGACTCCCTTTGCCATTTTAACTTTGTACTGGACAAAGTTAAGCTTATGATGATTTGATCGTATCCTCATTTTTATTGCTTCTTAATGCAATGTTTTGGCTGATCTGCTCTTGGATCTTTACTAACTCTGAGATGTGGTGTTTTGCTTTTTAACATAAAGTTTTGGCTGTTTTTCTCTCCAATTTTTATCAAATATCATTTTAAGGGAATTTTCAAATAGAACCTTTTATTTCTCTCACTGGAATAAATTTTAACATTTGTTTTTCACAGTTGGTAACCTTACTAGAGATGGAACTTGGTATATAACTCTTTGTCAAATAATAACAATTCATTTTTATGACTACAATTTTCTTCCTATAGACATTCCTTTATGGATATTAACTAAGTTTAGCTTCATAAAGAGTAAGGCAGTTGTGTTGGAATGTGTCACGAAAAAATAAATGATTTCGTCTCTTTCTCTTCTGCTGTCGTAGTGACAGACACAGTCTCCACTTCTGAGACCGAAAAACTACCCTCCTTCTCATTCCAGCCCTTTACATAGAGCTTGGTAACTCACCTATGCAAAACACCACCAAGCCAGCTACCAATCACAGTTCCCACGCCTGCCCACCTCCACTTGCTTTGGGGGTTTCAAGTTGACCGACCAACTCATTACATGCCCCCCTGATCTTAAGATCACAAAGCTTCTCAGTTCGAGAGATCGTCGCGTCTGTCTGGTGACTGCGTCCGCATATATACAACTTGCACGCTTGACATATTGGGATAACCGCACATGCGCGAACTCGTTTGCTCTGAGGTGGCAGATTTCCACATTCATCCCGTGTCTCGCTGTCATGCTCGCACACCGTGCAACTCGGGGCAGGCCTCTTCTACTGGGCACTCCTGAGCGGGATGACAGGGTCCTCATCCATGGATGAACTCTCATCCGTTGAGCTACTATCCGCCTCTGGACAGCTGGCCACATTGACGTCTGCAGGTAGAGTACTGATGTTTGAGGTAGAACTCAGTGGATCCGACTTTAAATACACCACTCGCGCACCATCTTCAGAGTCACTTTCATCATCTGATGACGGTTTTAACCCTACAACTGGCTGCAAGTCTTTAACATGACGAGGCACACCATCAACCCACACTGACTGCGGGCTGATAATCTCGGTAACATGCCCCATTCTAAGCTTGTCCGTACACTTGCTGTGCGGGGGTCTTAACCCACACTATGTCACCAATTCTGTATTTAGCTTGCACTTCGTTTGGAGCCATTGCAATGTCAATGCCTCGCAGCCGTAAGTGATAGGTGTGCACCATGTTAGCCGGTGCTGTTGTAGGCGAAACACCGTCTTTAGGCGTTGCATTATACCAATAGACTGCTTCGGGGATCGAACATCGCTTCCTGGCTGCAATCACTTTTATAGACCGGTGCCTCCTTTCTACTATGCCGTTTCCCGCTGGCACGTAGCCGCACCGGAACTGAAGCCGCACACCCCACTTCTTTAAGAACTGCGAGAATTGCTCTGAAGAAAACGCTGCACCATTATCTGTCAATATTTCTGCAGGTGGCCCCCGGTCGTAAAAGATGGACTCCAATTGACGTATTATGCTGGCAGTGTCCTGCCAGTGCAGTACTTGCCAAATAGCCAATCTAGAGGGTCCACAGTCAATAATAGTCAAATACTGCTGGCTGCCAACATGCGTAACATCTATCCCCAGCCTGTTCCAAACATGGGTAGTACTCAAATTTCCTTTTTGCCATTGCACCGGTGCCAGGTCAATTGACTGGCATGCCATCAACGCGCACTGACTGCACTACTGTCCTAACATCTGTCTTTTTGACTGCCAGGTTGACCATCTTCGAGAAATAGAGTGTCCGTTTAATCCCAGGATGCCCACACTGTTCAAGTATGCTCATGATTCGCTCGAGGTTCATACTGAGCGCAGAAGCTGTACACGGCAGCTGCAGAGGTTCAGACTCTTTCCGGGCAGCAGCCAACCAATGTTGCAGAACACGAGTCAACGCATCTGCCCTGTTGACTGCCGATTTAACTAACACTACATCCACAGACAGGTTGTACTCTTTGATAATTTCAATCAGTGTGGTGAGCCGCCTTCGTATCAACATCTCGCTCGATGCCTTGGTGGTCAGTCGTGCTCTTCCGCTAAGTGCATCTGATATCCAACGCTGAGTGCATGCTGAGTCCGTGACAATGTGTAGCACTGTTGTTTGCCATTGGAGTGCCAGGTTAATCCCCTTCAGAGTGACGTCTAGTTCAGCCAGGTTTATGTGTCGTGCATCATTTTCAGGTCGTAACCAGCAGGTGTCTTCTATGATGGACCAGTTATCCTCAACGGTGAGCTCGTTCGCCTTAACGCACCAGTCACCTCGCACGGGATCGTCTTGCATCACTCTCTCCATAGTTTCAGTTATCATGCATCTTAGGGTAACGTCATGCACCTCATCATCTCATCCTGACGAAACAGAAGTTACGCTGCGCTTTATGGCTGCTGCCGCCACTCTGAGCCAACCGCATACGGGAAAATGGCCTACCAGTTTCCCACACATGGAGAAGGTACTCCGACGAGTGATCACTGGCGGGACTTCCGGGCCGTCACTACCTTGCCTCCAGCGAAGTTTTTCTCCATCACTACTAATGTGTAGTCCAAGTACATTCGCTCCATCCTGTAGCAGCTCTGGGGCCTTGCACACCAAGCCAAAGCACTCCAGATGTTCCTTAACCCTCGTTGAAGAGGCCACGTTTTCATTGTAGGATGACGTTGCCCTTCGAATTTCCTCATCCTGCAACATGACCACATTCATAATCGCTGACATGATTTTTGGAGCAACATTAAGATCAAATCCCAATTGAGTGAGGTAATATCTCTGTCCTTTTACCATGACAGTCTGAAAGGGCCAGAGTGATCGGTGGACTTGGAGGTAGGCCCTTCTTAAATCAAGGGTGGCCACATTGCTCCCTTGCTGTCGCCATTCCCGCAATTTCTGGGTACAGATGTCCGCGTTGGCCGTATATGCATCTACAAAGGTATTCAATTCCCTGTAGTCCATGACCGGTCTCACTTTCCCCTTATTCTCTTGCACTATTGCCCATACACAGCAAGGGCGCCGCCTTTCAATCGCAGTGGAAGAATCCGTTCAATCCTCGTGATCTCGCATAATTTGCAGACCAGTTCCACCTTTTCGATCCATTCAACTACAGACTGTCCACTCGTATCACCACTGAATTCGGAGATCAGTTTTATGTCGAACGGTCTTTCCGCCATCTTGCTGGAGTCAAAGTAAACGCCGAAATAGCTTGTGTTGGAATGTGTCACGAAAAAATAAATGATTTTGTCTCTTTCTCTCCTGTTGTCGTAGCGACGGACACAGTCTCCACTTCTGAGACTGAAAAACTACCCTCCTTCTCATTCCAGCCCTTTACATAGAGCTTGGTAACTCACCTATGCAAAACACCAACAAGCCAGCTACCAATCACAGTTCCCGCACCTGCCCACCTCCACTCGCTTTGGGAGTTTCAAGTTGACCGACCAACTCATTACAGTTGGATTTCCAGTGGTGGGTGGGGGGATGTGCAAAACTCATTATAATGGCATATTAGTTTGTGAACCAATATTGTTAACTACTGTGATACATTAAATGTTTTTTTTCCGTCTGTTCCATCTGTACTAAACTGATGAGACAATGAATTACTTAGCTGAAAGATTAAACTGATGTTTTTCCATACTGAACAATAAAAGCCAATAAATTTAAGTCACACAGTTTAGGATATTTAGCATTTCTTAGATCTTCTGTGCTAAGGAATTTTTTAAAATTTCCAGTTGCCAAAAATATATCTAAATCATTTTTTTTTAAAAATCAGTAAAATAGAAGTGACAAACACCTACAGAGTGCGATGGATAAATTGTCTAAATAACACAAAATTGAAAATAACACTGACATCTCATTTTAACAGATATTTACCAAAATTACACAAAAATACCTTGAAATACTAAAGAGTAAATTTGTTCAATAAAATCACCCTTGGCTTCAACCACGGCCTCCAGATGAATCCCTTCTGGATGGTCTTTTTGTTTAAGTTGGTGAATGCTACCATAATCCTTGCCTTCGGTACATCTTTGATGTTACAAGAAGTTTTGTTGGTCAAATGCAACAAATGCTCAAATGCACCCCACACATAATAATCAAGGGGGTTGCAGTCTAGGTGGTTAGGTGTAAGAGATGATGTCTCAGAAATTGTCTGACATCCATGATTGGGTTCTCCTGCTTGTGTGGCATAGTGCAGAGTTCTGTTGCCAGACATAGTCTTCCATCAGCCACCCTCTTGGCCCAGGGCAGCACTACCTCCTGTAGTTGAGTTTGAGGCTTTCACCAACAAATTTGAGAGCTATTTTCTTATCAGAATGATCAGAGTGAGTTTTGCAAGTTGCCGTACCTTCATAATCACCATTAGACTCGTTTAACTCTTTCTGAATCCTTTGCACTGTCCTCAGATTGATACCCAAACACTCTGAAATGTTCATATTGGAGCTTCAGGTGTGAATGCCAAGCAGTACAGCATGCTGTTTCCAAATCTCTGGCCAAGTAAATTGTGTCATGCTGTTCTTTTTCTTGAAGACAGTGCCCAACTGACCCTACTATACTGACTATAAAAAAAAAAAAACAAACAATATGGATGTGTGAAATTAAAAATATAAAATGCCGACAATTTACCCATCACACCCTGTATTTATTTTTTGAAAATATTTCTCATAGAAAAAAGCCATCTGTTTGCAGTTACTCTTGAGAATGGCCTGAAAAGCACAATTTCCATGTGCCAAGGAGATTACTTTTCTGAAGATGACTGGTTATATGACAGAGCGTTGGGATGAAATGATGTTTATTCTACAGTCATATGTAGAAAATAACTTTAAAAATTAATGTATATATTGTTATACACTGGTTTATTTGGTATTTAGTATCCTCATTTTGCTTGTTAATCACAACAATTTAACTGTTGTATACTTGAAGGGAATTAGTTTATTTTCAATGAAATATACATGTAAAATTTAATGAAAAGTGGCTGATTGATTTTGCTTTTAACATTCAAGCCATGAATAGACAGTCACCACCATTTTACGTAGTCATGACAACTAAAGATATATTGCTATAACACAGTTTATTATAAAAACATTAAAGAAAAACTGCAAAATGACTTCACAATGCCTTGCATTCAAAGTACATAGGAATTATTAGAAAGAAAAATTTGTTTATAGTGGAGTTGACTAATGTCAATTTGTTCAGGTGGACCTTATCCATCAGAATTGTATCTTCATATGATTCAATGAATATTTTATAACCTATTTTATTTACAAGGTAGAAAATGTGTCCAATTTAGTCTTTCTTATATATTTCCCTTGATGTTTTGGGGCTGCTTTCTTAGCCATGTGAAAGTTGTCTCTTTCATTTCATCATCATTGGAGAACTGATGTCCTCTGAGTGTCTTGTTTGTTGGCCTAAACAGATGAAAGTCTAAGGGTACTAGGTCAGAAAGACAAGGCTAGTGAGGTGAGGCACTGTGATTGCTTGTCTGGTTTTTAAGCTGCTATGTAGCCCTGCATTGTCATATTATCTTCAAATATGCACAGACCTTTTGAGTAGCCAAGAGATAGCACTAGACTGTGAATGACTCACTTGAAGGTTTTTAGAGTTATTCAATAGTGATTATTCTGTTAGCTATAATGAGATCATCAAGCTGTTTAGCTTTATGTTCATTTGCAGCAAGAGCTGGCCTGCCACTGGGGGGTGCTCTGACTTAGGTCAATTTCTCCTTTCTCTCTATGATTGCTATTAACTTGACTGACCCATTTCCTTATTCTAATTACAAGTGCAGTCTCTCCATAAATATTCACTAACTTCCTGTGAATGTTTGCAGCACTTTCTCTTTCCAGAAACGCAAGTTTTATAACCACTCTTTGCTTTCTACATGTGTCTATAATGACAACCATTTTAAAAGAAAATTATGGGTAGGAAAAGAGAAGGTAACTTCAGAAATTTTTCCTAGACATTTTATGGGTTGTAGCTAAAAAACTGTTTACCTTGTTTGGTAGGCACTAATTTTATCAATATTCAATATTGTGTTATTCACTGGTATTGCAATTTTATTTATTTTTTGGTATTGATGTCAGCTGATTTTGAAACTAAGTTTTCTTTTTTGTTTAAAAATTTATAGACAACCTTAGTAATTCTAAAACTTTTAAAATTAGAACAGGCATTATTTTTTTTACTAACTCTTGTATTTTCATTATGTTCATTATTATAGCAGAGTAACCAGAAGGGAATACCTTCTTAAATTAATTAATATTCAACAGTGGGCAATTGAAATTGGGGTCAAACCTTTGGAGCTTGTACTTCCTGTCAAGATCAATCCTTATTTGCTCAGTATTTTGAATAGCAAATAAGTTTAGGAATGGCAATTACTAAGAATTTTCTTTGACCCCCCCCCCCCCAACCACCTGCAATCCACTGTCAAGCATCAGAAATTTGTTGTTATAGTATAGAAAAATTTTTGAGAAAAACATGCATTATTCTGGAGGATAGAATTTGTCCAATAACCACAGACAATTATTTGGACAAAAGCAGCAGCATTTTCATAAAGGATAGCACATACCATGCAACAAAAAAGGTTAAAAAAAAATGCCAGATCCAAAATAGTATTAACTGTGGATGATGGTAATTTCTGTCATTGCCAACTCAGCTGCAAATTATTGACATTTCTACTCTAGTTTATGGATTAATTAATTTTCATGGCTAAATCAGCTTTCTAACATTATTTAATATGTCTGGACAATTTTGCAATATGAGAAAAATTATTTTCAGAAAATCTTTAGAATGTTTACTTTGTTTTAAATACAGCCTGCTTTGATAATTCACAAGAGAAGATAACAAATCTAATAAATTTGATGCTTGCAAAGGTAAAATTTTAAAATGTGCTCATAAGTTCACCAAATTTCCATAATAAAATATTTTTGATTATTGAATAAAGGCTTTTCTTTGAAAATAGAATATATATTTATTATTTTTGTCATGTGTAGACTTTGAAACTATATGAATGTTAAGTGTTTTGTTTTACTTTCCATTTATTTTAGCTTGATTCATCTGAACTAAAGACTCCTTTTATGAGAGAGAAAGAATGTCGACACAGTGCTTCAACTTTAGTGCGGCTGATCTTAGCTGTTCTGCAGTCATCTAAGTTGGCCCTGCCCCTTATCAGGTGGTACATCCTACAACTGCGTAAGATATACAAGAAAGTAATTGGAAAATTTGAAGTAAGTATAAAAGGTGGATTAGAAGAATTGTAATTAAGAATGTATCATAATGGTGGTCACAGCACCAAATGTGATATAAACGTGATTTTGTCGTCGCAGCATCCAGATGTATTATAATTGACTATTCCTGTCACTGTATGCAAATTTAACCAGTAATTACTATATCTGGTATCACAGTTCAGTGAAGGATGCATAAATTGGTTGTGACTATTTTTGTTATTTGTCTCCTTCATTGGTCTTGTCATTTAATGAGTGGAAGTTTTATGTTGTGTACCTGTTGGGATGAATTATGTAGCATGTCTTTTTATTCACTCCAACAGCTTGTGATTTTTTGTGGCCCAGGTGAAATCTCAATATTAGTGACTTTCTTAATTTGGGTGACCTTCCTGAAAGGACGAGAATTTCTAGCAGAAAGGACAAGTCTGTTGACAAGCTATCAACAATTTATTAATAATAAGAGAATATAAAGTTGCAACAATTGCAATTATGCAGTTTGACTTCAGTAAATTCTTTTCTTCTCTTGGGGCATTGAGAGATATCTAATAGTTAAAATGTGGGTGTATTGCCAACTTAGCTGCTGCTAGAATTTTTGACAGAAACAGATCCCAGTGTGGTCACTGGATCTGCCTAGTATGAACTGGCTAAAATAGTGTGTGTATATAAAAGTAATAGTCTGGAAGGGGAATTTGATTAATTATATATTTACACGCTAAAATCTTTTTAAAAGAAGCTGCTTAGTGTCTGTTGACATATTGCAGTCATTTGAATAATCCAGTATCATCTTATATTAATACCTGACTAAAACATTGTACAGTTGGCTTGAGATATTGGATACCCAACTGCCAGCCTTGGTTGAACTCATGATTTAGGAGTTGATAGGGTTGTCATAATGAATTTGTTTTTCACAGTATCTCTCAGGCAAGAGTAGTTACTTACCAATGCCCATCTCTTCAAATAACATGAAACTAGTAATACTGGATTACATGGTACCAATAACAGAGAAAGACTCCATAATCTGACTGCACTCTTCTCTTTGTGGTAAGATTTTTGTCCAGGCATCTTCTGATTGTACAGTGAAGAGAAAAATGAATTTTATGCCATTTTGTGAAAAGTGAACAGAAACATCTTCAGTGCAAATAATGAAAAAAAAAGAACTTGAAAGATTTTGTTTCCTGTGCTGATAACTTTTACAAAATCTTTCATCTTATAAAAAAGGCAGATGTCATTCACAGACAGACATTGAACTTCAAGCAAGAATACCATTTTGTTGTCTTTTATAAATTTGCTAGTCAGATATTAGTACAAAAGATTGGTAATTTTGTAATTACAAGGTCTTCGCAAAGTCCCTTGGAAAATATTTGATATTTCTTATTAATTTAATGTTTATCAAATTAATAATATAACTGATACAGATGTCTGTAATAAGAAATAATGATTTATACATAGTATTTATGTACATAATCTATTTCTCCAAATATTCAATAAATGGAACTCTATTTGGAGGGGCGGAAGCTTTTTTTTTTTTTAACTTGGTGTTCTTAATGTAAAACTTTCTGACTTCAAAAATCTCCTCTTTTGGACTAGATTATTCCATGCTTCATAGTCTGTTCTAAAAAAAGGTAAGATTTGAGATTGTGACTATTTAGGCCATTTTGCATGAAACAGCTGTTTTAAATAAATATTGGATGAACACCTAACACTGTAAAAACAGTTTCTATTAAGAATTCTAACTGCTAAACAAGTTAAAGTTTTTACAATAAAAATGAGTAATTACACTAAAATGTCATGACACAACAATTTAGAAAGCTCTGACTTCAACACTCCATCATGGAGTAATGGCTAACAAACTGCTCTTACAAGCTATTAAGAGTGAATTTGATTCTAACTGGATTCTTGTGCTGTGCTAAAACAGAGTTTGTTTTTCATTTATTTATTTATTTTTTTTTAAATAACCAATCAGTTGCTTCTGTAATTTTTCTTATCTCACAAGTGGCTGGCATTTCTTTGCTACAATTCATAATGCAATGATTTACTGTTTTTTAGATTACTGAACACTGATTAAATATGTCATTGCTTCTTCTTTGCTTCTCCTGTTAGAATCGCTTAAAATTTGAATGGTATTTTGACTATTTTTTCTCTAATTTGCCCTTATAGAATGATATAGATGGACCAGTGACACAACTGCCTGATTTTCTGGAGAATTTAGGTGAGATGAAGTTCAGTCTGAGTGGCCTTTCATCCACTTATGAAGAAGTGTCCACTGTGTTGGCATCATTTCGCAGTTTTTGTGCCTTACTTTGGTTTCTACATGTCCGTGATAATGTCTCAAGTTACAACAGACAACGAAGAGCCTATGTGGAAAATCATTCTATTGTAGGTATTTCTGACCTGATTCTTGTATGTAATAATGCATTTGTATGGGATTTTGTACTTATGCTTCTTTTTCATAGATGCCAAATTGTTTTGTTGCTTTTTAATTAATCAAGAAAGACTCTCAGCTGCACTTGAAGGAAAGTAATTTGTTTGCAATTTGAAATAAGAAGCTAAACTCTAGTCAAATTTACTAGCTTTGTGTTTTTTAAATTGAACGAAATTGGTCAAAAGTCAATCAGACAGTGTGTAATGTTTTATAAAACTAGTGAAAATCTGCAACTGTGCTTTTGTGTACATTTCCCAATATATTTAAATGTAAATTTCTCTTTCCAAGGATGTAGTTTTCAATTTTATTTTAAATATATGAAAAAAAGCTGTGAGTTTAAACTGATCCCATGAGGATACAAGTTAAACAATACACTTTGACATAATCAGTGACCAGCTAAAATGGATCAAAAGATAACTACGCTTAACCCTTTAAGGACAAGAGTGCCCAAATGTGCCATAAATTGCGCACACTTTCAGTTCAGGAAAACTTGAATGTTGCCCTTGCAATTAGATAATTGCGCACACTTTCAGTTCAGGAAAACTTGAATGTTGCCCTTGCAATTAGATAATTACACACTTTCAGTTCAGGAAAACTTGAATGTTGCCCTTGCAATTAGATAATTGCGCACACTTTCAGTTCAGGAAAACTTGAATGTTGCCCTTGCAATTAGATAATTGCGCACACTTTCAGTTCAGGAAAACTTGAATGTTGCCCTTGCAATTAGATGACACTGTATTTCAGTACACAGCATTGGCACTTGTCATACGATTACTTAGAGGCACTTGAAATTTAGAACTTTCTGAAAGTTTTAGATTTTCAAAACAATACCTCATAACCAGTAGTACCAAGGCTGGAATTGATCAGATCATCACCTGTGAAACATAAATATATATTAGACATGTGCAAATGTTTCCAGTGATTTTTATATATATATATATATATATATATATATATATATATATAAACCAGTGTTTTACTCTGTATTCATCTATTAGTTTTCAAAAGCAAAAGTATTAGGAAATGTAACCTAATAAATGTCATTATGATCTCTCTTCTTATATATATATATATATATATATATATATATATATATATAGTTTTAAGGTATGCTATATTTATCAGGAATAGAGCATATGTAAATATAAAAGTAGACATTGAAGTAAACACGCAGAAGCAACAGTCTGTTTCATACTAAATGCATGCGTTTAGCATGAAACAGACTGTTGCTTCTGTGTGTTTACTTCAATGTCCACTTTTAGGAAATCTTAGCCAACACGTTTTGTCCTCTGATTGACTTTATCAAAGCAACTGTAAGAATATTATTTTGAACATGCATTTATAAACAAAAGTTTTGTTGCAAAATAAAATCCATTCATTTGCCTTGATAAAGTCCATGAAAGGACGAAATGCGTCAGCTAAGTTTTCCTTTTTGTCTTTATTTAAATTTTGTCCTTTTACAGATATATTTTTAGTTATATCTGAAATTTTACATATATATATTTCCCACTTGTGCCAGAGAGTGGTGTTTACTCTGAAGCCAGAATCTGGAAACTAATTTTTCTATGCAGCCAGCTTCTTTCTAGGAAATGCAATTAGCATAATGGTTATTAGAGAAAAAAAATGGAGGCAAGTTCAAATTCCAATTGAAAGCTGTTTGCACAAATGCCCTCTTTTCCCTCTCACCAGCCATGGGCGACTTATAGAACAGACTGAGCCTTTTAGGTTTGATAAGTCAACAAGTCTAGAAGAAAGACAACTCTAAATTCAAAACCAGCTCCATCAGTCTGTCTTGTCCTAGACATATACTCATTGCAACTCTGATGCGCTCTAATGACCTGACAGTGAGTTATGGCATTGCATGAATGCAGATTCTCTTTTTGGAAGATTGGTATCCAGAGTTTATCTCATTTGAATTTTTATTCTGCTAAGCTACATCAATATATCAATTGCAGAATTCATTAGCCTTCATGACTGACAATAGATGTATCAGCTATTTGGCTGCCACTACTTAGGAAATTAAGGTTATTTTGTGGAGAGTGAATTACCAATGGACTCAATCAGACACTCTTTTTATTTTTGTTTAACACTAAGGTATATCATTGGTACAAAATGGGTCAGCATAGGAAAAAATGGTGTCATACCTTTTTCAAGTGATATATATATATATATATATATATAGCCTTAGGTAGAATTCAAATTGCTTGCTGAAGTGATAACCACTATTTTTCCATCCAACATTCTTCAATTATAGAACACTAGAAATTAAAAAAAAAAAAAAATTTGCCCAAACCTTTGATATTTATAAATATAACCAAATAGAATATTCATAACTTTTTTTTATTTAATCTTCAGAAAATTACCAAGAATCATGATGAGCACTGGTCTAACCTTTGCCATGAAAATCTCATCTGGGCTGTCCATTTCCTCCCTTTCAGCCATTTCTTGCATGAAGAAAAATGGCCATACAAAGTCCTGTTATCACTGTTGGCTGAAATCCCTGCCTCTGTTCATACAGCTCAAATCCTTGCTACCCACTGTTACAACACGGATGAGTTGGATCCAGAAGTACAAGAGACACTTGAAGTTCTGCTCAAACGTTGGCAAACTATTACAGTGTCAAGCACAGAAGATGGCATTGATTCTCTGCAGGAAAGTAGATTTTGGGAAGAAGACTACCCAAGGAGAAAGTCCTTGTCAGTTTATTTCCAGGAATATTGCTGCACAGTGAAGAATATTCTGAAACAAAAGAAAAAATGCTTTGGAAAGTACACAGAGTTTTTATTTGAATCAGAAAGTGAAGGTTTAATTATTGGCTCCTTTCCATTTGAGACAAGCAAATCCTATATTCAATTCTTGGATATGTTCTTTGATGTTTCTTTCTTGAAGCAAATTGAAGACGAAATGAAATCTGGTAGCAAACACAGTATCCCTTTGATCAAAACATTTGCAAAGAAGATTGAAAAACTTCAGATGGAATCCATGCCATTTCGAACAATGACTGGCAGGCATCCTCAACAAAACTTACTGATTCTCTCCAGTCCATGTAAAAATGCAACTAGTCAAAGAAACCAGAATATCAATTCCCCAAGTTTTCATTTGAGATCTAAATCAGTGGATCAAGCTATGCCCGTAAGATCCAAAGGTCTTTTCAGAAGTAGCCAATCTGTTGATTCTCCTTGTACCAACCAAGGGCATTCTTTAACTCCCTTGAGCGCACGAGAAAAAAGACAAATCTGGAGTGCGTCCAAGACAAAACCAATGGAAGCGCCTTCACCAAGCACTCAAGCCAGGTCTTCAGAAAGCCTGTCTGAGAAAAATGAGCGGACCTTGTGGTCATTTAATGGTCAGTTTGGTCCTCGGTATTTTCCACTAAACCAGCTAGTGGATTGGATGATCCTCTGGGCTCGTAAGAGTGAAGTGCTTTTTTCTCAGCTCGATAAGAACAATAACAGAGAAATTAAATCTGCAATTCGCATTGAGATTCAGCCGCAACTTTTAGTCCTTGCTCTTTGGTTAATTCAAGAAAAGTATCACCCGCCTATGTTAGCCAATTCTCAAGTGATGTCTGTGACATTCTCACCACGCCTTACTGAAGTCTTTACAGAGAAGAAAATGTATAAAAGCAGAATTGTTCCCAAAATGAGAAGTACCAAAATGCAATCTAAGTGCTCTGAAGAGAAGGAATCCTCTGACACAATTATACCTGGTTTTGATAAGAATAAATTTAAAAAATGGTTGAGGAATCGGTTAATACATGAACCCCAAGAAGTTGAAAATGATATTGATCAAGTCTCTTTTCGTTCGCCTTCAACCAAATCTCAGACTCAGTTGCAGAAAAGTTTGATTAAAAATGTTAAAAAGCAGAAGAAAACAGCTTGGGATTCTCTATCTTCCCATGATGAAGATCAAATGAAACAGGCTTATGAACAAATCTTACAGACGTGAGTAGATACTGTTGTAAATTTGATTTTTTCCTTGATTCAATAAGGCTATCAAGTTTTCTCTGGCTGTTAGTAAATGGTTGCATAATTCCAACTAATCTAACCTTATAGTCTTATTCGTTATTTTCCCTAAATGCATGGCATTGCTATCTTTGATGCTTTCTTTACTTACATTAGTAGTATTTGTAATACTATCTTGAGTTTTATTATCTTCATTGATTTGACTATTGTTTACTGGGTATGTTTAGGAAAAGCAATAGCAATTTATTGTCCACTTACTCATTAACTTTTTATTTTAATAAAGGAATTGAATTAAATTTCTTATGGCAGAAATAGGGTTTTTATTTGAGCTGTTATGATTGGTATTTCTCTCTGGCAGATGTAGTCTCATCAAGAGAAGATAACTCTACAATATGTATAGTGATACTGCCTTTCATACAGTACCTCATTTACTTATCATTACACTTCCCTGAATCTAAGAGGTTTTATACCTGTAGTTGATCTTTGACTTCTATGAACGACTCTGGGCAACATAATCTGTCTCTCAGAGTAAGTCTCTTTAATTCTTTTTATGGGATATCTAGATCTTAACTGATCCTCATTTGAATCATCATGATATCTCCGGTCACTCTCATCCCCAGATTGTTTATCACTAGTCCTTCTCTTCACTTTCATATCTCTGGTGGTCTTCCTGATCACTCTTAATACTGGATTCATTCATCCTTTCTTGTGTCGTCTGTTCTTCTGCTTCCCCTTCCGCCTCCTTTTCCCTAACTTCATGCTCTCTTGTAGTTCTAAATTGGTCTTTGTGAGCCAGTATGCCCTGTCTCTTCTTTGTTAAGAAGCTGTTTTAAATCCCTTTTGCACCACAAAATTCGCCTTTTCAGGACTTGAATCCTTGTCCTTTCTGTACCAGACACTTTCATTGCAAATGACATGATAATTGGTGCTCTTATTTGTCTTCCCATCAATGCGGATGTGCATTGTCTTCTGCCTGCATGCAGAATTGCTCTATAACTTAAGAGTAGTCTGGGTAAATAACTCCCTATATCACAATCCACTGGAAAGAATGCTTTTAATCCCATTTTTACTGTTTGAACCATTCTCTCTGCAATTCAATTTGACTGTGGGTGGTAAGGTGGTGTTTTGTATAGAATGCAGCCAATATGTTTTAACCATGCACATAAACTTTCTTCACAAAACTAAGGTGCATTGTTGGAAATCAAGGTTTTGGGAACTCCATTTCTCAAAAAAAATATCCTCAATACCCACTTCACAGTAGTGGCTTTTCTATCCATGACTTTAATTTTAGTTTACCTGAATTTCTTTATTTCTGTACACTTTGGGCATCTTGTAACATACTCTTCCATATATCTCAAATAGCCTGGCCACCATGCTTGCAACTTTACCCACATTTGCATGTATATCATTGTGCACGGCTTTAATTACTTCTTTTCTCAGAGACTGTGGAAGTACTATGATATCTCCAATATATATAATTCCTTTTTCTATTTGTTAATTTGTGTCTTGATTCTTTATACAGCCACTCAGCTACAGAGCAATTACTCCATGTATTTCTCTTTATTCTATCCATAATTCTATTCAGCACTGGATTCTATCCTCACAATTTTTACTTGCTTCAACATTCTTACTCTCAAAATTTAACCAAGATAATGCCTCCACATGCGGAATAGTATTTTCTTTAATATATACAATGCCAAAGTTGAATGCCATAAGCTTAATCGCTCATCTTAATATCCTGGCAAATGTGACCTTTGGCAACTCTCTTATGAGGTTGAATATGAATTCCAAAGGCTTATGATCAGATTTTAATAAAAAATTTCCTTCCCAGCAAAAAATGCCTAGCTCTTTCTGTGCTCCACACAATCGCCAATACCTCCTTCTCAATATTTGAATAATTTGTCTCTGCCGATGTTAGTTTTCTGGATAAGTACATTATAGGGTGAATTTTTGAACAGACTACATTAACTTAGGTAACTCCACGAAATCGCTAAAAAATAGAGCATAGTCTGTGGAAAAAGATGCCAAACTTTATGAAAACAAAATTTTATCGTCTAAATGTTTATGTTTTTATGAAGAGGAAAGACCAAAGTTTTTTTTAATTATTTTTTAAAATTTTTCCTTCTTTTTAGAACATTCTAAATTTTGATTAAAAAAAACCTTGTTTCTCTTTGTTGCAACATGGGGTAGTAAATAGCATAGATAATTTTTAGCGCATTTTTTTTGTATTACACACATTAATTTGGAAAATCTTGCAAAAATAAAAATAATTTTCAGATGTTAATGAAATTTTCAGAAACTATTCACAGATGATCAAAATTATTATAAATATGTTTTTTTTTTTTTTTATCAAAGTCATGGCAGAAATATTTTTTTATATTTATTAACACCCCCATAACTAATTTTATGAAAAACTCTAGAAATTTGAGTGCATCAACCTTAGTGATTACAATAGTTAAAAGCACAAGGCTTTGACGAATGCAAATTATGTTTTTTTTTTTTTTTTTTTTAATTGGATCCCACGTACCTGAAAATCAGCTCTGAATTGTAACATACAAAACTCAATAAAACAAATATATTATTTAATTTCAAATGCTTTTATTTGTTTTGAGTTGTTTTTATGAATATGGACAATATTTTCTGAAAGCAAAAACTTTTTTCAATGAAAATTGAATTTTTAATACAATTATTTGTTATTTCTTTAATTATAATAGATTTTTACATTAAGTTTTTAAAAATATTATAACATTAGTTAAAAGCAACGTCAACCTTTCAAAGTGTCCGTATGAGATTGTCATTGTCTAGCGCTTTGAAAATTGTATCATTTGGACCAATCAGAAGATCTGAAGTAATTAAGAAATGTAATTTTTGTGTTTATAATCGGCAGTAATTATAAAGTTTGGAAGACCAACCAGAATACAATTTAGTTGCATTATTTGAGTTCAGCATTGTTTTCCGCTCTTAAGCCCTTTACTTTTGCGAAACACGTATGGAGAAGTTAATTTGAGTTTTCAATTTCAACTGAGAAGGGTACCTATAAGAATCGGTATCATTTTATGAAATTTAACTACTGCTAAACTTTAATTTATATGATCTTATTTTTAATTAATCTCAGTTATGACATTTTTCCATAATGAAATATCAAAATTAATAATAAAATGAATGGAAATACAAATAACACAGTAAAATGTAATAAATGTACATAAAATTATAGTATTTTATGTACACTTCTGATGAAATTTCATAAGAAAGGTACCTATAAATTAATTAGATACCTTTTTCTTAGGAAATTTAATCTCACTCTTAACAGTCTTATTTTTTAATTTCTTTATATTTTCCATAAAGCATCGTAAACGTAAAGATGAAAGCTAAGTACAAAAAAAAAATAAAAAATTTGAGCGCTGAAAGTTTTCCTTAAAAGTAACGAGGTAAATAATTTGTTCACTTAAATCTAAATAATTTCACTTCCTTCTATCCGTAGAAAGAATTATCCTCCCGTAAGTTATCTAAATGTCATGAATCTGTCTTTTGTCACCTGTCAAATGACGCGAAAGGTTATGACCGGCTTTGTTTTATTTTCAAATTACATTTCTTCCGCGCAGAAGCTAAGTTAAGCTTCATTCAAAATATTTTGAATAAACATTATAATTTCTGATTCTATTAAAATAAGTTTTGAAAAAATGATAATTGATTTTTAAAAGAATATCAAAGTCAGATTTTCATCTTTTTTATAAAATGGAAAAAAATGATTGAAAATGATGGATTATCTGTCCATTTTTTTGACAAAGAAAAACAATATTTTTAACGAAAATTTCAGGTGTGCTAGGAAGGATTAAAAAATGTAAAAAAATACCCCCAAAATACTTTGATCTTTCCTCTTTAATAATAATATGAACATTAGACGATAAAATTTTGTTTTCGTCAAGTTCGGCGTCTTTTTCATCATGCTATGCTCTTTTGTTTACATTTTGTGGAGGTACCTACATTAACTAGTCTGGGGCAATGCTGCTGCTGTTTTTGTGATATATTGTGAACAAGACTGACACCTACTAACTTACCAACTGGTTGTTGTTAAGTCAATCACAAAATCAAAGAATTGAAAAAGGATTATCTGTAACCTTTAACAAATAAACTGTCATGTTATTGTTTCTGTCCTAACAGACAATTCCTTCTTTACTTCTAACTCATCCACTTCACTCTGGAGACTGCTTCAACCATCCTGATAAAACTTTCTCAAACTAAAAACTTAAATGCAATGTGAGTGAGGAATACTGATTAGCAGAATGAAATACCTGGGCACTAACCCCAAGATAAGAATAATTATATTTGTAAAACAGATAATTTGTGAGTGATTTTGTTAATATTTTGATGTTTGTAGCATCAGAAATAAGTGGACTTCTCTGACTGCATCCATTCCTTTTTGATTCTGTTCATGTTATAATTTGTATAATTATTGAAATTATTAAAAAATGGACATGGAATGTAGATCATTAAGTGACATGGGTCACTTAATGACCTACATATTCTAGCTTTTCTTATTAACTTCCATTTGGAAGTTAATAAGAAAAGCTAGAATATGTAGGTCATTAAATGACCCATGTCCTTTGTGCATACAGGAGAAACTATATATTACTAAGTTTATAAAAAATAAAAATTTACTGAATCAGAGAAATGAAATAGCTATTTTATGCTGTCATTGTCAAAAATTTTCCTTAAATAATATTTAAAAATAAAAATAAATTTAAAAAGTGCAACCAGGTAATATACATATTTATATTTAACATGAAAAAATAATTTTATATACTGTAAGTAATTCTATTACATTTACTTGTTTTTTCTTTTTAAAAAAAAAAGAAAAAAGTAGTCTATTAAAATAACAGTGAAAATATTTTAAAGTTGTATTTAAAATTGTAGTTAAAACGAATTCTCACCTAAACATCTTTTAAAATTGTAGTTAAATAAAATGTATTCTAACCTAAATACCTCTCAAAAAGTACTACCGGCACTTAAATGAATACAATAAAACACCTACTGAAAAATGAAATTATGATGAAAAGCTAGAAGATATAGGCCATTGAATGACCCATGTCCTTTGTACATACATGTGAAACTATATATTACTAAGTTTATAAAAAAAAAAATAAATAAAGTTTACTAAATCAGAGAAATGAATTAGCTATTTTTGCCGTGAGGGTCATAAATTTTACTTAAATAATATTTAAATATAAAATTTTAAAAATCGTAATATACATACTTATACTTGATATGGAAAAATAATTTTACTTACTGTAAGTAATTCTAATACACTTACTTCTTTTAAAAAGAAATATAGTCTATTAAAATTAACAGTGAAAATATTTTAAAGTTGTATTGAAAATTGTAGTTAAAACGAATTCTAACCTAAACTTCTTTTAAAATTGTAATTAAATAAAACATATTCTAACCTAAAGACCTCCCTCTTAGTACTACAAGCACTTAAAAGAATCCAATAAAACACCGACAGTAAAATGAAATTAATATGAAATGCTAGAAGATCTAAGCTTTTGAATGACCCATGTCCTTTGTACTTACATGAGAAACAATATATTACTAGGTTTATATAAAAAATAAAAATTTACTAAATCAGTGAAATTAATTAGCTATTTTTGCCGTCATTGTCATAAATTTTACTTAAATAATATTTAAATATAATTATAAAAAAAAAAAATTGTTACCTAATAGGCTAATAATATACTTATACTTGATGTGAAAATAATTCTACATACTGTAAGGGATTCTAATACATTTAATTGTTCTTAAAAGAAATATAATATATTAAAAATTAAAAGTGAAAATACTTTTCAAATCGTAGTTAAATAAAACGTATTCTAACCTAAACACCCCCCCCCAAATCTTTAAATATACAAATAGAAAAAAATGCTGTAAGAATTTTTGCCGTTAACAATAAAATTTAAAAAAAATCCAGACGACATGCATTTAACGGATGTCAGATTTCATTGAAAAATACATCTCTACCCCCTACCAAAACGTAACTAATAACTGATACATCACAATACAGACATAATGAACACGCAGGCACCCCTTGTCTGGTTGAAGTGAATTTATCTGTAACCTTGGAAACGTGAATTATGATTTTTGCTGTGTCTTTAAAACACAGTAATTTTAAAAGTTACTCCAAAATTTGCTTGAGGATGAAATGGAACTAATGTCTTTAATTTAATTACAAAATTAAAATCGGAGCTTTCAGCTTCCATTTTTGAAATATGGTTAGAACTGTGTAGTAAAAAAAAAAACATATTTTAAATCAATTAATTTATAGTATTAATGCTCTGTAAATTTACATTGAGCACTATTTTATAAAAATAAAAATATCTATAAGAACACCAGATTATATATCTTACTGTTCTTTCTTTTTATATATATATATATATATATATATATATATTTTATTTTATTTTATTTTTTTTTTTTTTTTTTAAGTAAATCCTACCCATGATATCACATGCTACATAAATAGTTAACATTTTAACACTTTCTGTAACATAAATTGTTTTCAAAACAAGTTTTCATGAATATGGAGTTTTTATAAACAGTTTCCCCTTTGTTTTTTGTTTTTTTTTATCTATTTTTAGTCTTTTGATTTTCATTCAAGTGTTAAAATCATCAATAATAGAAAATTACTCAATAACAAGATTCAACTTCTCATCTGGAATTCTTATTATTATCATTGTTACTGGAGTAGTAGTACCCATAAAAAATAAAGAGATTATTTAGTTTTGAATTGATGTTTGTAGAAAATGCGTGTTTATAGGTTTGTATTGAAATGAGGGTGTGATTGAGAACTTTTGAAGAAATTGAATTCAGAAGGATTGAATTCCAACACATGGAAATATTTTTTATGTATTTTTATATAATGAATAAAGTGTTTCACAAAACAGAGCAAATATATTTGTGTGTATGCAGCCAAAAAGGAAAAAAAAACATAGGGTTATCAGCAGTGTGTGAGACAGTAGGTATGTAAACCACATGGCTGAATGACTGAGTCTCCCCAGTAGGGGAGGAGTATTGTGTTGGTGCTACTACATTTGGAACAAAGGAAGATGGTCTTATTGTCCTGTCCTTTTTATTGTTCTGAAATAGTGCTACCTAGCAGGTGTCATGGCAGACAGCATTGGCATAATCACTACACACTTCTGTCCCAGATCAGAGTGTAGTATTTCTGCACTCTGTGAAGTCTTACACACACACACACACAATATATATAATTATATATATATATATATATATATATATATATATATATATATATATATTACATTTTATGTAGGATTATTATTATTACTATATTATTATTATTACATATTTCAATATAATTAAGTGCAGATATAGACTCAGTATATGTATCTACCACTGAAGAAATAAATCCTTCATTAATTTTTATTTTGACTACAATATTCATGTTTGTTGGTTAGGGTTTGTATATTTTGTCTGGTGTGCTCCCTAGTCTTTCTCAATTATATCCTACCATTCATGGAATTTTCAACAGGATCTTTTCTGTTAGATTAGGATGGAGAGGGCATGATATTCATAATCCCTTATTCTATCTCCTCTCTGGAACTCACCACCCCCTCTGAGTCATTCATTGGATTTTAGTTCATCATTTACATGAAAAAAAAATTCACCATACTTTCCTCTCCAACCTCTTTTTCAAAATCTTTATTTGATAATTTTTTATGCCATTTCATTTATTACTTTTTAAAGTTCTTTCCAATCAACACTGAGTCCAGCATGAAATAAAAGGAAGACACGCATAACAATATGCTCGACCACTTCTCTATTTTGAATTTAATGCAGACAAAATATTAGATAATTGTTCTGTTTAGCTATTTAAAACTAGTGTTGATTTCTAGCCACTGAAAATCCTTTTTCTTTATTTGCCATAAGGCATATACTGAGTACCAAAATCTAAACAAATTTTGGGTAATAATTTAGGTAAATCATTAAATTCCACTTTGAAGATCTAATGTTACACTTGTGCCTTTCATTCATTCCTTATTCTGTGAATAACTTTCAACACCTTGCACTTAAGTCAACACTCAAGAGTCGGTTATTATGAATCTTTTTCTGAGGGAAGCCAAAATGTACCTTTCCTAAAAGTAGAGCCGTAAGTTAATATTTTGTCCAAGATCATATATAAATATTAAATTAAAAAATTTTGAATTAATATTTTTTACTATATTCTCACATTAAAATTACATTGGAATTTTTAGCTTCGGCTTATATTCTATACGTACTTTTAGCATTTGCTGTGTTAGTCATCTCTTGTGTATCTATGTATATACACAGTGCTTAGTGGAAAGTGCTCAATATCAGTGATAGTGGTGGAAGATCCAGACCAATGGGAGTGTATGTGCACATCTACATGTGTGCATGAGAATGTGTAAGTTTATCTTACGGTGCAGATGGCTGATCTGAAAAGCTGCAAGACCATCCACATCCATTCCTTAAATATATAAATGCTACAGTCTCAACACCAAAATAGAATTACAATTGTGTATATATGTACGCTTAAACACATTGATGTATATCTGTGCCTAACCTTGAATTGTTTATATGGGTGTGTTTGTGTGAACTAAAATGTGTAAACTGGTATGTGTGTGTCTGTGTGTGAGAGAGTGTCATCCCAAACAAACACAGAAGAAAATTCCCCCTCTCATCACCAAACATAATCAAGCACAAATGTCATAAATAGATCCATTTTAAAAAAATAAACCAGTTTGTCTGATGATCGCAAAAGCATAAAACCCAGTGTCACAAATGAATATCCAAACAATATATATATATATATATATATAGGATTGTATCAAACCAAAAAATTGTTCAGGAGCAGGGTATTTCTGGAAGATAACATATTTAAAACAAGCAGTTTTTATAATTATAGTACACAATATCAAGCAATAGACCATTAATATTAATAAATAAAATTAAATATTAACTTGTATCTACTCTGAGTTTTATGGAATTACATCGACATTTTTAGATCTTATTGTAAAATGTTACAATCCAGTCTCCTGAAGAGTGGTTGTAATCCCATGAAACTTGGAGTAAAGACAAGGTAGATGAACATCTGATTATATTTATATTTACTCATTACATTAAATTAATTAAGTTTTAACATATTTAATACATGAGGTTACTTAAACAATTACTATTATGTATTAAATAAAGTATTTAAGTGAAAAAAAAAATTCTTCCCAACTTTCTGAAATTTGATATCTTTAATGATTAACATTTCATTTTTAACTAGCATTGATGAAATCAATTCTACAACTGATGATTTGGATGCAACAAATTTACCTGAGCTGGAAATCTCGGATCGGTAAGAACCTTTGTTTCTATCTTTTAGTGTTTGGTCTGTGGATATAATAATTTCTAGCCCCACTGTGATATTTTGTCCAGTCTGCAGATCATATGTTATTCTGAAATAATCATTTTTATATTATTTTTCCATTAATATTATACTTAAAAATTTTAAAAGAATCTCTTTTGTTTGTTGCACTTCATGTTGTCTTTGCCTTCAATTCTCCAGTCCCCAACATTAAATCATAGACTGCCTCAACGATAGACAATTTTCTTTTTTACTTGCTTTATTTTATGAGGGACAGTAGTTGTAGCATCAGTTCTAAGGGGAAGTGAAATGGAGGAGATGATCGAAAGGTTGCATGTCAACTGGTTGGCCAAAATCTCATTGCTACATTCTAGGTTGCCTCACTAAAGAATCTGGGTGTGGCAAGGTATTGTATCCTTTCTAATTCTTGCAGCCATCCTCATGCCTTTGCACCTTTTTGCTCTTATCACAAAACTTAAACAAAAGCAATCCATCACTGTCAGAATTCCATGCCTATGGGGTTCTTCTGACCAGTAATTTGCCATTCTGTGCCAACCTATACATTCTGTAATAGATTTCAGTACCATCAATGTTATACCATACCTATGGATGATAATGGGTATGTCCCAATTCCTATAAATACAGTAGTATATATTGTATTTTGTCTTCCACTTGGGATTCACTTGCGATTCACTTTTGGCAGTTGATTACTTACTACATGCCACAGGCAAATTTTGTGTGTTGTTCCTGTTATAAATATTATCATTCCATTCCAAATCTTCATTTTGGTTATTCTTATTCAGTAACCTTTTCCTAGGTTGCAACATTTTAGCGACAAGGATTTGGCTCAAATCAAGTAAATGTCACTAATATGACATTTTAGTGTCAAGATTTGTCACGAACTCCAGGAAATATTCACCAGCACAACAATTGGTGAACAAAAGATATTGGCAAAATCTCATGTTAACAATTCACCAAGGCTTCATTAGTGAAAAAAAATATTTTTTCTAACAACTACATGGATTTGTACCAAGTTGTGTGAAATACAACAGTCAACAAAACACAGGATTTTATTCCAAGAAAAACTTAACGAAAAACTTACAAAATTCATGTCAAGAGTGTTTCTCGCTGTAAAAGTGTTACGTAAGAATACTTAAAATGTTTTGACAAACAGTTGTGTAAAAAAAAAAAAAAAAAAAACTTTTGTGAAAAGTATTTCAAATAAAATTCAAAATGGAGGACTTTAAAACAATACTACTAAAAATAGTCAAACAGCAAAAACTGTACAAACAAAAACTTGAAAAACTTGTTGAAATGTTGTTAGAACAACAGAAAATGTTCACAAGTAATAAGAATGGATATTCAGAAGACGCTATCGTAAATGCGATTGCTGAATTTTACTATATGCCAGAAGAGGAGGTAACTTTTTTGTTGTATTTTCTTAGATACAAAGACCTGTGCAAACTGGTTCGATTATAAATGTTCATCAAAATGCCAAAGATATTGAAATAAGTGGCATGTCGCATATTAGAAAAGTGTCAGAAACATAAAGTGAAGAAGGAAAAAACATCACTCTTAACCCCCGTTACGTATGTGGAGAATTACATTGGTATTGTTCTTACAAAAAGAATGTTTTTGGTGCGCAAAAAAAAAGGCCTTAAAATATCCACCATAAGACAAAATTTAAAAAACAAGTGAAGAATTACATTAAAATTACTAATGTGGATAAATCTGCTGGTCACAATATAAGAAAGTTTGTGCAGGTAAAATTCCTGAACAAAAATGTCAAATTACAATTGGATAGTGGATCTGATTTAAGTTAATAAATGTTTATACATGGAGAAAATTGGGTAAACCAACGTTAATGGTTATCAAAAAATCGCTCATATTACAGGACAGAAAATAAAATTTGAAGGGAAATTTATGACAAATTTAATGTTAAACGATAAAACCTTGAAGTTAAGATTTTTTGTCATGCAAAATACGAATAACCTTTTTGGAACAGACTGGATGGAGCGGTTTAATTTATGGAACAGTCTGATCAATTCGTTTTGTCAAAAAGTAAAAGGCTTTACCAACAAAGCAGAACATTTAAAAGAACAATTAAAAACTAAATTCCCAGCCATATTTTCTGGTGGATTAGGCATGTGCAAGAAAATGAAAGCTGAATTTGAGCTAAAAGAAAATGTACAACTGATTTTCAAAAAGAAAAGAATGTATCCGTTGCATTGTTAAAACAAATTGATGACGAGCTTGAAAGATTTGAAAAAATGGGAGTTTTATCGAAGGTGGAATATAGCAATTGGGCTTCACCAACTGTATATATAAAGAAAAAGTTTTGAGATACGTGTCTGTGCAGATTTTTCCACAGGCTTAAATGATGCCCTCAAAAGTTATCATTACCCACTTCTGGGGATGGGAGAGGTTTTTGTGCAACTTGGTGGGGGTCAGATATTTTCCAAAATCAACCTAAGTGATGTTTATCTTCAGATTCAAGTGGACGACGAATGTTCAAGATTATTGACCATAAATACGCATCGAGGGGTGTATAAATTTAATCGTTTGTCTTTTGGCATAAAATTTGCTCCAGCTGTTTTTCAGCAAGTAATGGATACAATGCTGAGTGAACCTTTCGGAGACATGGTCATTGCTTCTCTACAATTGGAAATAAAGATGAAAAATGTACTATGCAATACTGTGCAGGAACTACCTGTGATGTTGGAAGATATAAAAAGTAAAGCATTGGATGATGACAATTTTATTATTGAAATGAAGAAAAGCTTAAAGACTCCTGTCTTTGAGTTTTCAGCAGAATCCATGGTATATTCAGTGTGTGAAGACGTTCTCATGTACAGCAAAAGAGTAGTGGTACCTTTGGCACTACAAAAGAGAATCCTGAGAGAATTCCACACAGGACACCCTGGTATATCCAGAATGAAAAGCTTAATGAGAAGTTACGTATACTGGCGTAGCATGGATAGACACATTGAATGTTTGGTAAAGTCACGCAAAGGCTGTGCTCTGGCAGCTAAAGCACCACAATTAAGTTCAACTCATGGCCAGAAACTGACCACCCATGGTCACATATGCACATTGACTTTGTTGGTCCACTTAATGGGTCATATTATTTGATCGTTGTAGACAGTTTTTCCACATGGCCAGAGATATTGAGATATAAGAAACCAACCATGCAAGTAGTAATTCAGTTTCTACACAAATCTTTTTTAGGTTTTGGAACATCAGATTCTATTATTTCCTTGAATTCTTTTGATATAAATTGTGGTAGAGCACATAACAATTGCCCCTTACCACCTTAGAAGTAATGGTCAGGCAGAGTGTTTTGTGGATACCTTCAAAAGGGCTCTAAAAAAAGCCAACAGTGGATCCACAGATGCAACATTACAGCAATTTTTACAGGTGTATAGGCTTACACCAAATAGAAATGTGTCTTCGGCCATGAAATTATGTTTGCATGGAAAATAAGATCAGTTTTTGACAAGTTGATACCCAATAAGAAAAAACGTGATCATGCGGTACAAAAACTGGAAAGAAATTTTACAAAATTGGTCAAAAGGCTTTTTACCAGATGTATCAGACAAATAAAACATACTGGGAAGTTGGAACTATCGTCTGAAGAATCGGCAGGATGGTGTATCTAGTCAAAGGACCGGAAATGGTACACAAAAAGCACTAATAATCAAATGAAAAGCAGGTATTCAATTGAAGATAACAATACTCCAGATGAAGTTGAACCTATGGAGATTCTTTTTGCTACATTTGATGTCCCCATCCCTCAGAAGGCTCCTGAGATAGAAGTCCAAAAAAGATGTAGTAAGAGAAAAAGTAAATTCAAAATGCTAGCACGTGTTACACCATACCTAAGGACAATAATGGGTATGTCTCAATTCCTATAAATACCGTGGTATATACTGTATGATGTCTTCCACTTGGGATTCACCTTGATTCACTTCTAGCAGGTGATTGCTTACTTCAAGCCACGGACAAATCTTGTGCGTTGTTCTTGTTATAAATATTATCGTTCCATTTCAAGCCTTCATTTTGGTTATTTTTATTCAGGAAACCTTTCCTAGATTGCACCAATGAAAGACTGCCCATCAATTAAATGATTGACCAGTGGTCCAATAGCATACTGAAAGATAAATATAAAGAGGGGGGAAAAAAAATTAATGGACTTTTACAAATGCCACTCAGATATAGATCTACTTTGACAAGTTCAGTATTTGTCACATTTGTGTGAAAAGATATTTTCAAAGATGAAACATTCTAAATCTATAGACAGTTCAAATTCTGTCTGAAGCTGTTATGCTAACTTTGCACTAATGATCTTGCGAAAGATCTAAATCCATCTATTCAAAAGCACCACCCCCACTGGTATAGGTTAAATAGCAAGGCAGACTGGACTCTTTAGATTTGATAGGGCAGCTGGTCTAGGAAAATGACAACCCTGAATTTAGAATTCATGATAATGTTATAGGCAAGCACAGCAAAGTAAGTCCCATTACTCCCCATCTGTGATAGCCTTTGATGAGTCCTACTGTGGACTGAGAACATGGATAATAATAAATGAAATATATACTAATATTCTTTGATTCCTAGAACTGTTAATATTTCAACATTTATAATTGATACAAACCTTGGTATGGATTAATGGCTAGTGATCTTTTCTAGTGGTGAATTTTAATTGTCAGTCGATGCCCATGACCTTGTGTCAGACTAAGAAAAGTAACTACTGATACGGACAGTACTTAGAATATTTACCTACTCTTTCAAAGCTCAAATTGTAGTCTTTATTCTCACTGCATTGAAAAAAAAGTAAAGATAGAGTGATTTATTCCTGTTATCACTACTACCCAGGTATGGCAGCACTATTTAATGTAATATTATGCAATATTTTATTACTGTCTATTTTGCATTTATTTTTAATTGCAGACCTCAAACAGAAATTAGTAGCCAGTTGTTAACTACTGGCAATAGTATTACTCTGTCTCACCTGATAGACACGGCCACATTTACTAATAGTGTCTTGTCAGAGAGCAGACAGTCTGCTGGATCAGAAACAGTGGATGTTTCATTCAAGAGTCAAGCAGTATCTCACGGTATGCAGATGAAACAAAAAAAGAGGCAAACTCGTTCAGTGAGATCAGATACTATGTCCACAAACAAGGAGACAGGAGAATCCATTGTTCAGGTTAACTATCAAGAAGGGAATATACAACGGATTCTGCAGCATGAAATTCAAAAGTTGATAACCGTGAGTTTTTTTTTATTTTTGATAATATTTACCCTATTTTCTATTTTTTTAATTGGAAACTTACCAAGAATAGATGAAATCTATTTTGTTTTCTTTTAGTCTGCAAATTACTATAAATATGACCAATGTCATTTCCTTTATGAAATTGATTTTTCTCTGCATTATATATCAAATCTGTGAAGGCAAGGTTTTAATTTGTCCAAAAACAATTTTACATAGGCTCGCAAATTCCTTTCTTCCTTCTTTTCAACTCAATTTCAGTGAAGGCATGGTTTTTATTGCTCCAAAGAAAGTTTCATATAGGCTCACAAATTCCTTTCTTCCTTCTTTTCAACTCAATTTCAGTGAAGGCATGGTTTTTATTGCTCCAAAGAAAGTTTCATATAGGCTCACAAATTCCTTTCTTCCTTCTTTTCAACTCAATTTCAGTGAAGGCATGGTTTTTATTGCTCCAAAGAAAGTTTCATATAGGCTCACAAATTCTTTTCCTTCTTCCTCAGTTCTCTGAATTTCAAGGAAGTGGGTGAAGGGACTTATTATTTCATAATCACTACATTCATTAAGCAGATCAACTCATCATTAGGACTAAGAAGTCTTTATACTGGCATTAGAATTAAAAATTTTAATTGATGAACCATTTCTGAAGGCAAAACTAACATTCTCACATTATACAAAAAGTGTTCAACAGACAAAGTTTAAAAGTGACTCAAAGAATGTAGATAATATTTGATTGAAAAACAACAATAATGTTTATGTTGTTAATATTTTTGTTTTTATTTACTTCAGAAAATAGTTTTTAGTTTATTAATCAATTATTGTTTATTTACAAGATTTTATTTTTGTTTGTACAAGATTATTTACAAGGTTGGTTGTTTTCTTTTTTTTTACTTATACAATTTCAACAAATTTATTTTTTTTTAATATATTTTTTATTTCAATGTAAAAAAAACTATAAAGTTTCTGCAAACAAAGCACAAAGAAAAATAATGTAAACAGAATTTTATAACTGTGTCCATAAAGTTATCCGAGATGAAAAAACTGTTAAAATTTAATGTTATTTATAGATAAATTAATGAAACTCAAGAGTAAGTAATCTTTGAGTTAAAAATTAAAATTCCTGTCTTGTTAAAAGATAAAAAGCAACAATAAGATGAATAAAATAAAAGTGAAAGCCAACATTAATAAGATTGAGAAAAACTATTAAATTACTAATAAAGAAAAGCAAGAATAAGAAGACTAAGAAAAAAAAACACTACAAATAAAATAATCGTAATAAGCCTTGAGCTTTTGTTAACTTCCAAATGTGATGTTCGTTAATTTTTCTAAGGTCAAGTACAATTCTCTTTATTTGAAAGTTGTTCCCAGTTCAGTTAACATAATAACATTGTTTAAACTGTTTTTGAAGGTTGAGAAATTTAAAGATATTGTGTTAAAGTATTTAATAATTTAAAGGATAAGGACACTAAGCTGAAAAAAAAACATGGCTTCACTAGGTGCCCCTCATTTCAGAAATACTTACTTTTGGTTCCTTAGAAGTGTGTAGTGGTTAGCAAGTTAATCTACTTAACTACTACTACTGCAGTGATTTTGTTCCTTGCTTTTAGTAATACTTTTGACCTGGTGCCAGTCTAAACTCAGAAACTAACAGTATGCAATGGTTCTTTTATTTATTTTTTTTTTTATAAAAGAAGCCAAAGACTAAAATACAGAATTTCTACTATGTAGACAATATTTTTTTAAAAAACAAATGAAGATGTGTGGAAAAACCATGCTATTGCAAAGTGGGGAGACTTTCCCCCCAACAAAAATCATTCCCCCTCTTCTCCATAAAAATGAAGTGAACTAATTTTAGTGTACAAATTTTTACTTGCACCCCCACTCTGACTTAAAGACTCCCCCAACCCAACTCAGAACTCTTGAGCAATAGGCATGAAAAAAAAAAAAATGAACAAATGTAAGAACGGTGTGCATAATCAACTAAAGTAATGGATGATAGAAATATTATTATTATTATTATTATTGAATTTGTATTTATTTGACTTCAGTTTGTCTGAAAATGTTGATAATTTGACATAACTTTGGAGCCTTCACTGGTTTTCTGTGCTAATGTTGGATAATATAATTTCCTTTGCAGTGGGTTTTTCACTGAGAATTAATGTTTTTCTTCTTTTCTAGGTTCAGAATGAACGTCTTCTGTCTGTGATGGGGGCCATGTTAAATACAGATCCTATTTTGAAAAGGCAAGGTAAAAAGAACAGAACTACAATGACTGAAGCTCCGGGCCTCACAGAAAATGTTGACTTTGAAAACCAAAGGCCAAAGAAGAATGGTTTTTCAGTTCAGACTTCAAACAGCTCTGATCAAAGATTGATGGGAGATACCGTTGGTTCTGTCACAAAATCTGAGATACCCTCAAAGACCCCTTCTCGTAGCATTGGTAACATGCGAGGCATACTCAAAGAGCTTGAAAATCTTAAAATATCTGCCAATGCCGAAGGCGCTGTTAAAACGCCCCCAAAAACTAATCGACAGTTAAAAGATAAAAGAGACATTAAGGGGAATATCAGTGACTATATAGCAGAAAATATTTCTCCAGATATTATTTCAGAAAAAGAAAACCATATCTCAAATAAAAGTCCAGAGAAAGTGTACCTGATCTCAAAGGATGATTCTTCCCCAAAATATTCTCTGACTGAAATTGAAAAATTCCCTAAACAGTCTTACCTCTCCCTACCCCAGGTAAATGAAGCCTCCTTGAATAATAAACCTCAAGCCTGTGTGCCTGGTTGTATTAAAATACCTTTGCTCTCCCTCAATAGAGAACACAATGTTTTGGAAAAAAATCAAATAGGTGTCAGCATGCCAGAGATTCAGGTCTTTGATTATAAGTTTCATCAATCAAAGAATTTACCTAATCAAGATCTGCCCTTGCCACAGAACTTGACCCACAAGACCTTTGTGAATCACCACAATATGATCAACTCGTATCTCCAGCAAATGCCAGATGAAAACCATTTCAACCGTTTTTATTTTAATCAGAAGTCTTCATCATATCAGCAGCAACTGCTATCACAGGAGAAGGCACCCTTGCCCTTGTTACAAGTACCTAAGGAAGGCCTGACACCATCCTGGCCAGACTTTCAAATCCGTTTGATTCCACCTCAATTAATTGCAGACTTCCAAAGCCATCTATTGGAAAAGGATCTTGAGAAGAGACAATACTTTGAAAACTTTCAGCAGAATCAACTAAAAAAGTTGGCAAAAGAAGAAAAACAAACCCCAGTGCAGAGTGAGCCCATGTCATTGCTGGTTGCTCACTTAGGGAAAAAAGAATCAGAAACTGACACAAAAGAATTTGTTAAAAATTCAGAAATATTACCTAGCCAAGATGAACTGACAGTACTGCCTGAGAAACGGTAAGCTATTTTCTGAATTTCATATTAGAAGGAAAGGTTCAAATGTTTGATAAAAAGATAACGCATAAGGTTAGAATTGATGAATTAGATTTTATTGCACATAAAACTTATTATACATGGATTTGTTCAGATTAATATCCTCATCTTTGTTATTAAGCTCATAATATCTAATAGTTACTTTCAAACAAGTGTACATTAAATTGGGGGATCAGTGGTTAACATGGGCAAGGAATGGCTTTTAAATTTTAATGCCTCCAAAGCAAAACTGCTTTCATTTAATCACGACAAAGAACCTTTTCTGCCTATCATCAGGATGGCTGATGCTTAACTTCACCAGAGCAACACTTTGCACCTTCTTGGGCTTGCATTTTTCCACTGATCTGAAGTGGAGTGACTACATTGAATCAATTGCTACATATACTGCTAGGAAAGTTGGTTCACTGTGTCATGCCAGAAACTTTTTCTCATTGGAATACATCTTGCACATTTATAAATTTATTAATTATCCAAGCATTGAAAACTGCTACCATATCTGTTATGTTGCTCCTGCTGTATATCTTGAAATTCTTGATAAAATTCAAAGAAATGTCTGTAATGTACTCCTGATCTGACATCTCAACTTTGGTCACTTTTCCACAATTTTAATGTGGCTTCCCTCTGTCTTTTCTACAAATATTTTCATGGCATTTTTTTTTTCTACTTCCTGACTTACGTGAATTTAAGTGTGCTACTAGGCTGGCAACTAGGTTTTGCCATTTTAGTGTTGAACTAGCTAGATGCAACTGCTTCTTCTATTCAAATAGTTTCTTTTCTTGCACTTCTCGTCTGTGGAACTACCTTCCAATTTATTGCCACCTGCAATCTTCAAAAATTTAAATTCAATTGCCATCTTCTGTCTTCCTGAACCCTATTCTTTTATTGTTCTTTCCTCACTTCTCCCTAAAATTTTTCTCATTCTCTTTCACTCCCTTAACTTCCTGCATCCTAGTGGCATTATCATCCTTGCTTTAGGGTGAAATGATTACAAAACAAAACAAAAAAAACTTGTATGTCAAGAATTTGAGGGGATAGTGATATTGTATTGTTTGTTTTCCTGTTATTTAATATATCTTCTTAAATTTCACTCTGTTTTTTATAAAGAAAAATAGTTATGCTTATTTTCTGAACATTGTTACAGTGTGTAGTTAGCCATTTCAGTATATCAGATTGTTTTTCAAAAAAGAAAAAAGAAAAAAAAAAAACACTCATCTTCTGAATGTTGATCTTTCCCGAGATGGCATTTGTTTCCAAAATCACTTCATTTACTTATAAAGGAAAAGCTGTTTCCAAGTTGCCAGTTTGCTTGCAGAAATTCTATCAGCAAATGAAGGCTTGGCCACTATATTACAAACTTTTAGAAATTGAAAATGACACCCAGATGAAAGATATTTTTTAAATGTGTAAATTATTTCTTGGCATTTCATTCATAATTGACATTTTGGGACTTAGTCTTGTGTGTGAATATCAAATTTCAAGAATTGTCAGTGGCAAAGCAAAATATCAATTTACTAGCAGTATAACCATTCTTCGACCGGGTGTTTTATTACTGCAAATTTTTGCTGTTTAAGTTTAAAGTTAGCCCACCCGAAAATCAACATTAGTAGCAACAATTTGGTGCAACTGAAGTACATTCCCAAATGGATGTGTGTGTTAACAATTTGAATGTGAGGGTGGCCCTGAAAAGGGGCCATTTTTGCATTTTCAATCTTGTTTCAGCCTCATGCGCAGCAGCAGTTGAAGAGGTGTTTCTCCTCAGTTGTTGAGTCCTTTGATCATCATTTTCAGCTTTGTGTGCAAAAGCGTTCAGGTATACTCTTCTGGAAAGCTGATTGATCTTTGGACTCTGGCTCTGATTGAAGCATTCCAAGAGGCATTTTGAGGCAGGTGAACTGAATGTTCTAAAGACAATTCGTTATCCCTTATTCGCATGGTGGGCCTGGCAGCAATCACACCCACACAGCATGAGCTAGGATTGGAAGGTTATGTGTGAAAAAGTAATATTAGGAAATGTATTAGACGAATAAAACTGAGAGAACATAAACAAACAAATGGTAAATGGACAAATAGAATTGCAGAATGAATGGGTTTACTTGTATGCAGGCAGAATGGTGACTAAACGTCGAGGTAACAGGGCACATCACTGATGTCTTGCACCTGTAAAACTTATTTTAGGTTTGCTACAATTGAGTGGTTGTTTCACAGGAAAAATGATGAAAATAGGATGTCTCTGACAAAAGTTATCTTGGTTGAGATGTCATCACCCCCTCCAAAAAAAATGTTATTTTGCATGCCTGTTGCCTCGTGCAACTGCGCATTGAACATCTGTGCAAATGCTACATGACCGTCTCTTTAGTGTGCATCTTTTGCGTTAGATTTCAACTCTCTAAATCGATTGTACGCTATTTTTACAGACATTAAAGTTTGCTTTTTGATTTTTGTGCAAAGTGTAAAAAATTAGTTTTTTCCGATTTTTCACCTTCAAGGTTGTAATTTTTTCCAGACAATTTGGACTCAAAACTGGCACTGAAGAATTATCTGTCAAAGAAAAAAATTTCATTGAAATCGGATGAAAACTGTGGAAATGCATAAACAGCATCTGATCGCACACGCACGCACGCACACATATTTTGAGAATTATAGATATAAATTACATTTTCAGGTTCTTTTCACAGATATGTTAATTAATTATAAATAATTATAATTATTATTTATAATTATATTAATTATAATATTAATAATAATTATTTATAATTTATATAATTAGTTATATAAATTTAACTGTATAAATATTATTATTGTAATAATTTAAACTATTTATTTTTATTAAAGTTTTTATGAAAGATATTGTCTAAGAACAGATAGTAAATAGTAGAACGTTGCTGAGAGTTATAATGGTCAGAAAGTAGTGGAGAGCCATTGTTGCCAACAATTTGGACTCAAAACCGGCACTGAAGAATTATCTATCAAACAAAAAAAAAAAAATTCGTCAAAATCTGATGAGAACTGGAAATGCAGTAACAACATCTGATCACAGACGCGCACACATTTTGAGAAATATAGATATAGGTGTCTCCCAGTTCTTTTCTACTTTTGAATGATTGACCTTATGCCAAAAGCTTGGTGAATGTATGTATATATATATATATATATATATATATATATATATATATATATATATTCTCTGATTTCAAAGGATAGATGTTCTTTTATATCTCAGATACTTTCAAAATGCGTATGATCATGGCTCTTCATAACTTCCAGTCTTTTGTTGCGCTAAGTAATTTTTACCCTTTTACTATCCCTTTTTTTTGCCTAAACTCTTGCTGACTATTCACTTAAAACTTGTCAAGTAGATTATTTGCAGTCCCCTCTGCTTCTCTTTCCTTCATCATTTACTGTGGTTGTTAAATTCTCCAAACCTTCTTTTCTTATGTGTCTCAGATATTTCAGCTATCTCTTTCAGATTGTTAGAAGCAGTTTCTTTGTAGTTCTTATTTTTCTTAAAACTTCTTATTTACTCATGTTTTGTCAGTGGTATTCTTAGCATTCATCAGTACAATCATGTTTCAGTTGCATCAAGTCTCTTCTTTATCTATGAGGAAGTTCTTCAGCATTCACCACCATGCAAGAGGTTAAATAGATGAAATAGTAGTTTATCACTCTTTTCTTTGTTTCTAATGACATTTTACAATCTCTGAATATTTTGTTGTTTTTTACAACACTATCCAATTTCTGCACCTGCTGATTGACATCTCCAATGTGTAGTTGACACCTTGGGCTGTCTCTTTTGCTGATTACCAAATATATTCTGTCATCTTACTGGGAAAGGCTCATCTTTTCTGCCTTCCTTGACTAACTTGTTTAATAGTTCTTTTAGTTTTCATTCTGAGTCTACCATTAACACAGTGTCATCTGTGTATCTTATGTTATTAACGTTATGTCTGCCAATAATGATTTCTGTTATGTCTTAGGATTGTCTCACAGCAGAGGTTAAATAAATCTGCTAGAGAGATTGTATCCTTGATGTCTTCTTTCTGTTTCTGTGTATTCACTAAGCTTGTTCTCTATGAGCATGAAAGCTGTCTGTTTTCAGTTGAAGTTATGGATTACTTACTTTCCCATGTAAATCAAGATTTTTTAATATTTCTAGCAGCTCTTTGTCTTGTACCTTATCAAACCACATCATGAGTCCCATAACCCATTAGGGTCATAGGGACTCCACATATACTGCTGATACAGTTGGAGCAGTGTTTCCTGGGTAAGACAACCTAATGGAGGCCAACCCGCTCCAGACTGGTTTTGAATTCAGAGTTTTTCCTTCTCCTATACTGGTTGCACCCAAGGCTACAGGACCCAGTCTTTTTTTGCTATTTACCCATAGCTGGGGAGAGAAGGGATGGATCCCTACCTTTCCTAAGGTTATTAGCACATATGTGAATGTAATGAACTCAAATGGAATTCAAACTCATCTCTCCAATTCCTTAATCCAAGATGCTATCCATTACTCCACCATGCCTTTTTAATGTGTAATTTATGAACCATTTCTGTATTTGTATTGAATGTTTTGATAATGCTCTCATTATAAAAATTGTATTTCTTGTTCTAGTCTTGAACAAAGTCACAATATTCTTGCCCTAAAGTTTAATTCTGTTATGAGATTTGTCCATTGGAATAGATCTGTGTGAGTGTGTGTGCATGGTGTAATGGATTGTGGCTCAGAATGAGAAATTGGAGAGTTACGTTCAATTTACAGCCTAGTTTGTTACATTTGTTCACATGAAAATACCCTTGGGAAAGGTATGAATCCATGTCTTCTCTAACCCCCCTCAGTTATTGGTTAAATAGCAGAATAGACTGTGTTTTATAGCTTTGGTTGGCAACCTTTCTAGAGATGGTGAATTGATAAAATCACCCCATCTACCAGCAAGCCTGGGCCCCTTGTGACTATTGACTCATGAAAAATGTGCAATGACTGAAATTCTTCAGTAGTGTGAGTTGCACATTCTACCACAGGCAGAGAAAGTATTTACTTTTCTTTCATTGGGATACTAATGATTATTTTAGTTATGTGACTCATCAAGCCGATTGTCCAAAAGAGTTTGCATTCATTTGCACATGGATTCTTTGCTGGTGCTATGAAGATTGATCCACTGAAGTTCTCCAGTATTTTACCACTGTTGTATTTTCATTTTTTCTTTCAGTAACCTTACTAATCCTGAAATCATCCAAGGCTATATGCATTTCTATTACTATCTCATCTGGCCTTGCCACTTTATTCCTCTCCATTTGGCCAGACCTAACCTCAAATGTCAATACTACATATCTTTCTATGCTTTTAAGTATTATATGTTTCTAAATTATATAAAACAATTTCAGATCTGTATAATAATCTATATCAGTTTGTTCGTATCTATCTTTATATGTACCTTCCAACTTGTCGCTGCTCATATCTATCTCACTCTCTATGTATCTATATTTCAGGCATTATAAACAGAAAGAAACTGCTGTACAAAATTCAAAGGAGGAATCTGAAAATCTTCAAGAAGTGAGAATCTGTTTATCTCCTTTTCAACATTTTTACCAATTGTAGCTCATCCAGGAATTGTCACATCCTATAATTTTAAATTCTAAATTAGGAATTATTAATATAAATAAAGTCCTGAGCAAAAAAGTATCTGGACTGGTGCTATAAAAAGAAAACTACAACACATATCAATTCTGCATTTAATCTCCTTTGAAGTAGTCTCCTTCTCAAACCACACACTTTATCCAGCATCATTTCCATTAATGGAAGCATTCCTGGAACTCATTTTTTAGGATAGCAAGTAGCTGCCTCGTCACATTCTTTTGGATTTCCTCAACATCTGCAGCTGTTCCTTTCAAGTGGGATTTGATTTTTGGAAAGAGGAAAAGTCACAAGGGGGTGAGATTTGGGAAGTATGGCAGTGGTTGGACCTAGGGAATGTTGTCTTGGCCCAAAACTGCTGCACAAGCTGCATTGAATGGACAGGTGCATTGTCATGGTGGAGTTGCCACTCACTGGACTCTTGCAATTCTGTCTTTTTCTGATGAACAACATCCCACAAATGCTGCAACACATCACAGTAGTATTCCTTGTTTATTGTCTGACCAGGTGGAGCATACTTATAATGAACAATACCATTGTAGTCAAAGAAAACTGACAAATGTCTCTTCACTTTGCTTCAACACATTTGCACTTAAGTTTCATTTGTGGTCTTCTACTATGAAAACTTAGCCTTGATTTCATAGACCTACGATTCATTACCTGTTATGTCCATCTTCAAAACGTTTTTGTCTTCTTCAACACAATCAAAGAGTTCCTGTGCAGCTGAAACCCAATTTTCTTTTTGGTCAACTGAAGGAAGTTTTGGCACAAACTGGGAAGACACTCATCTCATACATAAGTCTTCAGTGAGAATACTTGTAACTAATGTTCACATTCCCTGACAACTTGCGCACGGTGACTTGACTGTCTTTCTGAACAGCTGCATGCATATCTCTGATATTTTGATTAGTTCTGCTGGTTCTGGGTCTCCCAGAACATGCAGCACTGTCATCATTTTGTTGGCCATCTTGGAAACATTTGAATCACTTGTATACTCATGTCTGCTTCATACACTCCTCTCCATACACTTTCTGTAACTTTGAGTAGGTCTTTTCACTGATATCACTAAGCTTTTGGCAAAATTTGATGTGGATTCTCTGCTCAATTTATCTCTGCCATGGTCACTGATGGAACCTCTGTGGTGTAGTGAGATGATGACCATACTTTACACACTTTCCTTCTAAGCACTGCTATAAAAAACAGAAGTGGGTGAGAATATTATAACTTAGTGTACATACACAAGAGTGTTCATGGTCACTCTGAGCACTTTAGTTTTTGTTTTTCTATACTTTTTGATCAGACCTCATGTGTGAATCATTAACTCCAATATAACAGCCATGTAATTCCAAAATAGTTTTTAAAGCATATTCTCATTTTTTAATTACTGAAGGTTTTGTTTTATTGAAATTTCTTTTTAATTGGAAACTGAATGAGAATAAGACTTTTGAAAATAGCAACAGTACATCCAACAATGACAATGTCAGCTTATGATTCGGTGCTCCAGAATTATCGTTATCAATAACATAGGTCACTCCAGCAATACCTCATGATATTACTAGATGTTGTTATTTAAAGAAGTATAACTTATCCTTGATAAGAAACTAATAATTCTTACCTCTGATAAAGATTAAACATTACCTACATTGTTAAGATTAAGATGTGTGTACAGTCCAGATCTTTGTGCAAAATATTTAATTCTTCATAGAACAACTACTATCAAATTGATATTTGTGATTTACATAGGGTTTTAAATTCCACTAATAGCTGTGTAATTTAGTATATAGTTCTATGATTAATTTTTGTTTCATAGATTTATAATTTAAAGACTCAAAATAAAAGTTAGTTTCAATGTTTTTTACAAGATGTAAGCTACTGTCCAAATATCCTAAATCACAAAATTGCTTCCTCAAATAAATTAAAAAAAAAATTTTCTTTGTGGAATGATTTTGAGTGATATGAAATGTCCTGCAAGACATGTGAAATGCTGGGTAACTTAAATTGATCAGTCTGTTCAAATTCCCCTAAAGTTTAGAGAAGCACCTTCTACATTTGGCTACTTTATTTATTTATATATTATTATATATTTTTATTTTATTGAAGTTTAAAATAAATGATTTTTTTTTAATATAATTTTCTTGAAAATGGAAAAACTTCTTTTCAGAAACCCCCACTGCCTTTACAATCAGCAGATTCAAAATCACTTATATCTAACTCTGTACAACCAAAAGTTACTGATGAGACACCAGTTAACAATGAAGAGTCTTTTACCAACCAAATAGACCATGGCTTTATTATGAGACCAGGTAAGTAATAATTGTACTTTGAGATTAGCAACACACATTTAAATCTGAAAAGTTTATCCATTCTCTATTTATCAGCTTAATTTTAATGACTTTTATAACAACCTGAACTCCCAAAATAGTGCACTTAAATTGTCATTCTCAACATATTACTTACATTAGATATCTCTTTAATTATTAAATTTCCCTAATTCACTATGACGTCATATATATAAGTGAGAGACTTAATACAAATATAAAATTTGTTACTTAGTTGATTGGTGTTACCTTCAGCATCACATCTCTAGAGTTTCATTGACAGACCATCCAGCATTCAACATCATTCATAAGGAAATCCTAGAAAGAAAGCCCCTCATATTCAATTTTGCTTATGTGTTAATTTGATTTTTACCAGAAATCTATGCTCACAACATCTGCACTTGTATTGAGTGCATTCAAATCATGTTCTTTATAAGTGAAACTTTTTAGCTTAGATATTCATGGAGAAAATTGCTTATCAACTAAAATAACATTTAGCTGGAATCATTGCAAACATGTTAAAACTCTGACATGAACACATTGATTCTTATAAAAATGGCTTTGAGAATAAAGTGTCATTAATCAAAAAAATATTAAATTAACCTTGCTACTTTATCTTAATACTCAATGTTAATTAAGTGATGTTAATTTGTCAATGTTTTAAAGGGTCTGGATTTTGGTCAATAAAATGATTGCAACCATTTGATGTTAGAATTTTTGAGATGAGGAATTATCATTTTTATTCTATTTGGACCAGCTTTACTAATATTATTAGTCGCAATGTTTCGTTCCAGATGGGCATGAATAATTGTAGAAAGAGCAGTGTATATATTAGATGCTGGATGAAATATCAGTTAGAAAGTGAAATCTCTAATAAGACTGAACAGTTTTGATACCAAATAACATTTCAAATAGAAATAGAGTTTGTTATTTTGTTTTAATCATTATACTGCAAGCAAGGCAATAAAGCCACTAAGATGCAAGGGGTTAGTGAGTGTGAAAGAATCTGAGAAAAATCATTATTAAGGAGTGAGGCAATAAAAGAACAGAATTAAGAAGATAAAAGATGACAACATTGCATTCAAACTTTTGCAGATCAAAGTTGATTGGAAAACAAAAAGCTGGAAGAGAATTCTACAATTGAGAAATGCAAGAGAAGAAACTATTAGCATAGAACTTAGTTTCATTTAGCAATTTCAACTGTAAAATGATGAGATCTAGATGCCAATCTAGTACTGCACTTACATTTATAAAGTTAAGGTGCCAAAGCAGAAATCTCGTCAGAATAATTGCTATGAAAATATTTACAGTAGGAAAGTCGAGATGCCAAGTCGGGACTGATGATATTGCATATTCTTCTTTGGGTTTTATCAAGAATTTCTAAATACATATCAGATGCACCAGACCAGATAGGGCAACAATATTCAATGCATGAACAAATGGTAGACTTATAAATGGGTAAGATAGGATTTGGTGAGAAAAATTGTTTAGTGAAAAACAGTGAACCAACTTTCCTAGCATCAGACCTGGCAATTGATTCAATATAATTGGTTGCATCAGCCATGCTTATGGAAGGCAAAAAAGTTCCTTTAAGAGGATTAAAAGAGAGCAGTTTCATTTTGGAGTCATTAAAATTAGCAAGCCATGTCTTTCCCCAGTTAACATCAGATTGTAGGTTGGTTTTAAGATCAGCTATCAATTTAACCTTACTGAACCTATCAAACTTAGCATTAAGACAGAAATAAATAGTTGTTTTCAGCATAGATACCGAGTCAAGAATTGATGACATTGGGAAGATTGTTGATGAAAATTAGGAATAAAGTAGATCCAAGGATAGAGCTCTTGGAGACATATTAATGTAAAAAGATTTAGAAGAGGAGCTTTTTAAAACAACTTTCATTTTGCAATTTGATAAGAAAGATTAAATCAAATCAAAGATTCACCCAGAAATAACATGACATTTCAATTTGTGAAGATGACCAGCATGCCAAATACTGCCAAACACCTTTGAGATGCAACAGTCACTATTCTTATCTAAAGCTTAATAGACTCTTTTCCCAATAACCATTAACACATCAACAGTTGACATACAGAAGCAAAAGCCATATTTTTTTGTTTGAAAAAAGACTCTGTGAAGTGAGATGTTTAACCAATTCAGAATTCAGCCTCTATGAATTTGCCAAAAAAAACTCAAAGGCTAATAGTTAAAATGATTAGACAGTTTGTCTGACTTAAAAACAGGAACTACAGAAGAGGATTTTCAACAAGCAGGGAAGCAAGAAAAAGCAAGGCATTTATTATAGAGTTTATAGAGAACAGGTGCCATTTGGGGATAACATGACCTAGAAAAGCCATACAGACTGGAATTTTAGAGAGTCAAGGCATGCTAAATACTGGTTGAAAGTCATGGTTTAAGATATAACAATGTTCACCGTCAGCCTCTGTGAATCTGAAACATTCTTCTTTTACATGCTGTGTCCATTCAGGATGTAGGTGATCATGGTCCTCCACATCCTCCTGTCCTTTGTAGCTTTTAATATGTTTAACTTTTTGTTATTTCTCCCAGATCCTGTTCTGCCATCCACTTGCTCAAGCCCATTAAGTACGTTATGCATTGCTTTCCCCTGTCCCTCTTTCCTTCTATCCGTCCTTTAAGTATCAAATTTTCCAAGCCCTCCTTCCTCATTATGTGTCCCAGAAATTTCAGCTGCCTCTTCCTGATGTTAAGTATATGTTTCTTTTTTGTTTCTATTCTCTCCAAAACCTTGTCATTTCTCATATGTTCAGCACATGTTATCCTTTGCATCCTTCTGTAGAAGCATATTTCTGTTGCTTTGAGTCTCTTCTTCATCTTTGAGGAGATTGTCCAGTATTCTCTGCCATACAGAAGGACATATACCATGTAACAGTTCAGTACTCTTTTCTTTGTTTCCAACAAAATTTTCCTGTCTCGTAATACTCTGCTTAGCTTATCCCAATATGTCTTCAGATCTCGGTGTCATACTTTCCATTCTCTGTTAGAACACTTCCCAGATATTTAAGCTACATAAAAATCTATTTCTTTCAAAGAATACATTTTAAAGAATCTAAATGAAAGCAGGATTATGATGATGATGATGATGATATCTGCATTTCATAATAAGATGATGATATCTGCATTTCAGGTGCCTTTGATAATTACTTGAAGCTTGGTGCTCAACTGGGAGTTCCAACTGAAAACTATGCAAATATTCAACATGACTTAGCAACAAGGTTGCAAAGATTACGACATGAATCCAAAAAGGTATTTTTCTTTCCTTTCAGTTCTTCTTAATATTGATAGAACTATAAATGCCTACTCTCTTTCCAGAGTGGTAACTTCCAAACATTTCATTTTGAATATTATAGCATTTTAAAAACAATTATATAAGCAATGTATAAACGGAGAGATTCTACATGTTAACTAGCTTACAGTTGTATCATCTTGAAATACCAGTTCTTGTACAATCACTGAAGTTAAGCAATGTTGAGCCTGGTCAGTACCTGGATGGGTGAAAGTTTGAAAATATCAGGTGATGTAAGTTTGAACATGTCTGGTGTAATGGATAACTGCTCAGAATTGGAAATCAGAGAGCCAAGTTTCAATTCCAATTGGAGTCATTATATTTACTTATCCACAAATACCCTTGTGAAAGGCATGAATCTACTTTTTCTCGCTCCAGCTATGGATTAATTAGTAGGACTTGTATCACTAAATCATTATTATCTCCCAAAAAGGTCTTACAATCTAAAAATATTTTCTGGCTTTAAATAACTTGCAAAGGGTTGATAAGCCTTAAAAAACAAATCAATCAATACATGTTAACTCTCAGCCTGTCTTTATATAGACATACAAATGAGATCCATATGTGGAGTAACTCATGAGTACAATATTTGAACCAGTTTCTTTTGGCGCAGTTATTGAATTCAATTGTTGATAAAGACACAGTAATGTGATTTAACTCTTTTATTAGTCAAACATGGAAATTTTTATGAAATTTGAGCACAATACAAAAATACTGTATTATACACATTCAAAGAAGAGGGACAATGAGTTGTGATTTGTTTGCTGTGCTGAGTATCAATCATTCAGTACTGCAGGTAACATGTTCGTGTATAGGCAGCAAAGGTTGTTGTGGGTGGGGGTGAGCTGTTGATTATTTTGGAATGAATATTGAAGAACCTAAGCTTGTGATATATAGGCAGCAAAACAAAAACTAAAACTTCATATCAAAATGAATACAGAGACAATTTTCATTACACTTAAATTATCTGTCTACCCCAATCCATTCATTTTTCTCTGTCTATATCTGGTTCAATCTCTCTTTGCCTCTGTTTATAGATGTATATCTTCTTGCAACTAACTAATATATATTTATCTTTAAGGTTGATTTCAGTACAATGACAAAAGAAATGTGTGATGCGAGTATGGAGACTGATCCAGTCATGGAAGAACAAGCACGTACAGCTGAAGCTGCAACCTCCATCACTAAAGACACAGGTTAATTACCCAATAATATTGACACTATTTAACTGCAGTTATTTTCATCCAATTTAGTTTTAATGTGCAATATGTACATATATTAAACTTAAGGTTATCATTACAATTAACAAGTGTTTGAAACTGAACAATCCATCCTCCTTAATCACTGTGGATTTAATTAAAATCCAAGGCTGTTAGCTTTCAATAATGTTGTCATGTGATGATTAATTTCTTACATGTAAACAAAGTAAAGATTTTGCATTAGTCTGACATAGACATTTCTCTGCAATGCCAACATATACAGCTTCTTTCAATTTCTGGATTACATTATTCAAGAAAAAAATATCCTTCCTTCCTTCTATATGGATTTAAACACCTGAAGAAAGTTTTAGAATGGATTGGTCAAAATGGAGTAACAATAAAAGCAACAGAAAGAATGAAATTAATAATCAAATTGAATCTTAGAACAAAAAAAAGACTCTTATTACCTCTGTCCCATAAATTGTTTCATTGAGTACATGAAATGTGTATACAAATGTAATAATTATTATGGAACAGATCATTTTTTATCTTTGTAGTGTCATGCTGAGCCCTTTATGGCATGTCTAGGGCAAGAAGTTATTTGACAGTGACCATCTTGTCTCTAAGTAACATGAAACAAATTAGTATATGATTACATGGTACCACTGGTTCAAAATAATTCATAACCTGACTCCTCTGTCAATCATCATGGCAAACCACTGATAAGACCTTTATGAAAATATCTGACCTGAGAAAGAGCATAGTGAGAAGTTAACTCTTGCCTTTCTCAAGGTAATTTCTGCAATGTTCTCCAATCAGAATTAAAACACTTTTTAGCAGATTCTAATTTCTTTGCTGATGACTATTGTGACTTTTTTCTTATCTTTCCTTCTGATTGCTTTTGTATGAAAGGTTGTGATCCAGTAATAGAGGCAATGATGGCATATAATCGAGTTGTACAAGGCAGTTTTCTGGCACCAGATATTTACCTAAAGCTACATTCTAATGACGCCAAAGAGGTCCACAAACAAGTGCCTGAAATTGTTGACAAAAGCACAAAAGAAAAGGTAAGCAACTGCAAATAGGTACAAATTTTAGAATCAGATATTTTTGGCTTTGAAAAGTCATTTATGCTTTAACTGTTTATTGGTGGAAATAACATAGTGGAATATTTATTAGTGAACTACTTCTTGATTTTAAAAAATCTACTAAATGTCAGCTAATTAAAATAAATCAAACGTGTCTTTACATGGTATAACGAACTGAAAACGAGATTAATTAGGGTAAAAAATATTATGTGAAGAATTCTTATTGGAAAATTTGAGTCAGGAAAATAATTTGTTTTTCTTTTTATAAATAAATGCTGGTATTAATAAAACCTCTTTGGTGTATGATAATAAATAATTACTGGGTAATTATGATTCTGATGGAGTGTCTGTTATTGTGTAATGGTTAACAAGCTCATTTTACAAACTTATTTACTTGTATCATGAGTTTCATCCTCATTGGACATGTATATTTTTCCCTTAATTTTTTCTCTCTCTGAATCTGTATAGATAATTTTTCGTTTCAAATTTGTAGCCATCTTTATAGTGAATCATTATTTATTAAAAGAGAAGGCAATATTTTTTGAGTTATACATTGTAGTTTTCTAAATGTTACGATTAAATCCTACTTTTTTTTTTAAATGAAAATATTAATTCTATGAATTACTTTTTTTTTCTGCTTATTCAGGATGAAAGTACAAAGCTCACATTTCTAAATGTTGTAGACATTCCTTGTTCAGTTGTGATGTCAAAAAATACCCCAACTTTAGCTGCAAATGAAATTACACAGCCTCAAGTAACAACCACACTTGAATCCCTTTCATTGTTTTCTAAGCCACCACATAAGGAAACTCAACCAATGCTATTAAACTCAGGTAACTGCTGTCTTTTTCTATGCCAAGTACTCAACTCTTATAAATATTATTGCATGCTGAAATGTAGTCAGATAATAATCTGTTTTATTGCTGAAATGGTTGTGATATTTTGTGGTAAGGGAATACTCAAAATGGGAATTATACATTGGAGATAACAAAATTAAACAAGTGCAAAAATTTAACTATCATATTTCATGAGAGAATATATGACACAGAAATTCAGATAAACACATGAATAGTGAAATATATATCTTCAGAAACTGAGCAATGGATCAATATAATAAGAAAGGAATAAAAGAGTGCTTGATATATGTGATATCTACCTTTTTATATGACAGTGAAAGCTGAGGAATTTCTTCACAAATGAAATAAAAGATTTAGAGCAAGTGCAATGTAGTTCAGCTGATGAATGCTGAGAATACCATGGACATAGCATATGACAAATATGGAAGTGATGAGTGGAAAGAAAATTTTTTTGACAATTGAAGACAGCTGTAATTTAGGGAACAGAGTGAAGAATGAAGGTTCTAACAGGACACTTTGAGGATTTAAGAAGTAATGGAAAATAGCAAATAACTTGAAAAACTTGGGATGAGATTTTGACTTCCAAGATTTTTATGTTCATTCTGGTATACTTTGTATGTTTTTACTATTATATTTGTTGCGAGCAGGTATTATTTTTTTTAACAACCCTTGTTTATTTTTATAATATATTTATTTTAATCCCCTCAAGTTTACGAATCAATCTTTTAATGTCTGTACAAAATTGATCAAGAAAAAAGTTGTAATTATCTATATTATTTTTATCACACTTCAATGTGATTTTCAAACCAAGACTTGGTCTGAAGATCATATTGATACATGAAACTGTCATTAACCATGCAGTGTTGGTCCTCTTTATGTGCACTGTCTACATCTACAAATGTTCTATCTGTGATATGGAGCACTCTTCCCCTATAAATATAGCAAATTTAAAATATATATATATATATATATATATAGATGGGAAGTGGATCAGAATGATAATTTTTCAGCACCCTCTTGTATATATCTTTGTGTATATATTGATTTATTTTCAGTTTATCATTGTTATTATTTTAAACAGACATAAACCAACATGTTACAGAAGCTTGGGTAGATAAGGAAGCCATCTCTATAAAAGAATCTTCTAAAATGTCAGTTCCACAAATGCAGGTGTCTTCATCTCCAGATTTATCACCAGAGGTTACAGACCCACTTGTGCCTTCTTCAGTAACTGACAAGGGTGTTGGTCTGCTGAAATCAAATCCTAAATTAAGAAAGACAACTGAGAAAAAAGAACCTGTAAGATTCAGGTGAGTCAATTGTTTCTTTTCTGTTATATTTTGAGAAAAGTGTTTTTCAAGTTATAAAGAATCTTTTGCAGCTGTTTTTTCTTATCTCAAAGCCCTTTTATATATATTGTAAACTAAATATTTAACTTTGTCTTTTCTGATTTGGACAAGTTTCTATTCATCAATACTGGTTTATTTACTAAAACTTTAATCTAGCACAAGGCCACAAGTTGCTTGCAGTACCTTATATTCTTATCATTGATAAGTGGTGTCCTGCAATCTATACTAGCAGATGTATCTTGCCTTGCTTGGGTTAATAAATGCCTAAAATAAATACAATCTTGCTTTAAAAAGCTGCTGGCACTCTTCAATTCGTCTGGGAAAGTTGATTTAATCAAAATTGCACACATGTAATTCAGATAATAGTTTTATTTGACCTTTACAAAGTATGCAAAAATATTAAAAAATAAAAAAGTAGTACATAGGATAAAAAATAAATATTAAAATATCAAATAAAAAAGAATATATGTACATACAAAGTGACTGATAGAAAGTTGTAACATTATAGGTAGATTAGTAATTGTTAAAATCAAAGAGTATGACCATGGTGTTCTATATTAACAGGCCTCTGTGTAACGCCGCTACCTCGATAGACTGGAGGCCGGCTGACAATTAGATCGTTTTAGTTTCAGTTTGAGCGAACTGCTGCGTACTGTGTACTTTTATGTTGTTGGCTCGAGAAATTCAAAGGAATCTTTTAATTTTACCTTTGGTTGGAATATCATTTAACTTATTTATTTGAAGTAAGTATATTTGAGTTTGAGTCCATACATTATTTATATTTAAATTGTAAAAAGTAAACTTTGGTGCTTAAATTTACTCGCACAAAAAGATTTACTTAAGTTTAAAAAGCCTTAACATTTTTAAATTAAAGTTTAATTCATTTTTTGCATTTTCCCTCTTAAAGTTTGTTCAACATTTTTTGATTAAAGTTTAAAGAATTATTTATTGATAAAATGCAATTCTTTTTGAGTAATTTGTGTTATTTTAAGAAGCAAAACAAAACAACGTTTAACAAATTTGAACAGAATAATTTAGTTTCTTCAAAGACGTAAAGAAAACTATTTTTATTATAAAATGAATTAAAATTTATTTTTTTATAAATTCAATGTCATTACTTAATTTGATATTTATTTTTGATATCGCTAAAAAAACATTGTTAGTATGAGTGAAAACATAATGTCAACGAAATTAAAGTTTAATTTTCTCAAGTTTTTAACCATGATAAAAAATTAGCATAAGTCAACATTTTTCTATTAAAAGTTTGAATAATAAATTTGAATAAAATTTTAATAGAGAAAGGTTCATTAACATTTCTCTATTAAAACTTTATCCAACATTTCCATTAAAAGTAAAAAAAAAAACAAAACAAACGAATTTCTTTGCGCTTTTGTTTCCAAAGTTAAAGAATAAATGATTATTTTTACTACATTAGTTACCAATTGGTGAACTGTAAGTATTTTTTTACTTATTAGATTTAAAGAAAAAATAACAATAATAAATTTATTACATGCAGTTAATGTCAATATTTTAATTATTTTTTATTTTTTTTTAGAAAGGTCTCCTTTTTTACGCCTTTTGACTACAAAATTTATTTTACAAGACAAGTATAATAATACCATTTTATTTATCATATTTATTTTAATATTTTTCTGATATTGTTGTTAAAGGACAAAATGCATTATTTTTACTTTACTTTTAAATTGTTTTTCTTTAAGGTAAAAAAAAAGTTATATATATTCCTATTTATATAGTTTAAAGTGTATTAAAATAACCAAACTAAAGGAAAGGCACTTATGAATGTTTTTAAATTTAATATAAAGTTTTAAAGTAAACAACATTGGCCTTCAAATTTTGATATCATAAAAGTTAATGGAAAAATACGTCCAAAAAATCCACCATCTGTATGGCCAGGTGTGCCAAGTAGTCAAATACCAACACCCTCAGCTGTTCAAAGGAATATAAAAAAAACCTCCAGTACTGTTAGAAATCAAATTGCTGATGAACTTAATGCTTTTTAGAATTAGATAAAATTATACAAATTTGAAAGAAAGTCTGTTAACAACAAAAAAGACTATATGTCCAGTTGTAGCATTTTGGGATGAAAATATTTTAACTGTTCAATTATCAAAATCTATTGATGGTATTCCTCTCTTCATGTTGAAAATTTATAACAATTTGCACTTTGAAACATTTCATTATGGAGTTAAGTGTTACATTAGCAGCCTGTCCAAAAATCATATAAATGCAGTTGATACTTGGTCAAAACTGGAAGAAATCATCCGATATTTAAATTCTATGGATTTTGATCACAAGAAAAATATCCTGAGTCAACAATTTTTAGCAATGGCTCCCAAAATTGTTGGAATAAAATACAGCTCAGATATAGTTGTGCATGCTTTTGGGTACTATGCAAGATCACGGACATTGTATAATGAATTAAGATATGATTTTCTGTTACCCTCATTAGCAACATTATGAAGGATGACGTCAAAAGTTTCAAAACTTAATGAAAAATCTTTTTTGTTATCTACATTTAATACTCTTAATACCAGTCAAAAAGGGTGCATAATTCTCCATGATGAAGTATATATCAAAAAGACAACAATGTATTGAAAAGATGCATATTAAGCAGACATCTTTACTTTTAAATCAAAATGTAAATATTGATGAATTTGATGTTAATCCAGGTCACCAATGTACATCTTGTGATTATAAACTTTGTAAGGAAGGTTCAGAAATATTTGACAATCTGGAAAACTTAGAACCATCTCTTTCCAATGAAATAAAAATGGCTCTTGTGTACATAGATGGATATATTACAAGAAATGATAATCAACCCAGTGAATGTGAAACCCATTTTTATTATGAAAAGTATGGAAAATATACCAATTTAATTGACCATGGAAAACTAAAAGTTCCTTCTGACCACACTTGTCAATGGTTATTTTTTTGTTTCATCCTTTTCCATACAATGAAGGGAAAGGTTTGCTATAAATCATTAAGTAACATTTTTATGCTTATTTCTGAGTTTCATTTTTTCAACATGGAGAAAAAGCATGCTTCTATTTTTGCAAATATAGTTTTGAAAAATTTTTGCAAACATGGCACACCTAGATCAGAAAAAGAACCAGCTCTAAAAGTTTTGAAACTTTCCTAGAATGATTTTGTTTTATTTGTCTATATTTCTGTGATGATTGATTGTTATGTCTTCCAGCCTTCTTGGGTTCTGTTTGTCAAACCCAGTAACTGTAATGTAACTTTAAACCAAAGTCTTTATTCACTCACAGGGAATAGATTGAATAAAGGATTCAATGACACCTGTAAATAATATAAATTTCTGATTCAATATATCTTTTACCAGAAATCATAATTACCCCTTTGTGTTGTTTAATAATTATCAGTGTTCATAGCAAAAATACATATTTTCATTTATTTATCTTTCAACACATCCTATTATCCTCAGGTGTGAATAAAAATGTTATTCTAAGTATTTCATAAAGTGGTTGACTTCATTTTCTTCTAAAATTTCTGAAAATCCTACATTTTTCAATAGGCCTCCAGTTCTGGCTCCCAGTTGTGCCATGACTTGGCCTGGAGTATAGAACGCCATGAGTATGACTCATGAAAATTACATGGTACAATAAAATGTATCATTTAGAAAGACAATTCATTAACAATCTTTTTAGATTATAACCATATTTCATGATAATATAAACAAATCCATGTTTATCATTATTCTAAAAGTTATCTGTATACTTGAATTGACCTGCAGAAACATCACCTTGAAAACTTGTATCTTAACTTTTTTTCTGAAAAAAATTAGTTATAATTAACTTAAATAATTTAAATAATTTGCTTTAATAAGATAGGTGAACGTTCAGTAAAATTAAAAAAAACAAATTTAAACCACTCTCATATGTGATTTAAAACTTCAAATCGTCTGACTTTTACTGTGAAAAGATGTACCTCTATTTGGAAATTTCAGTTTTCTAGGTTGAAAACTGGTCTACAATTTGCAATAGACATATATACATTGACTTATATATTGATATCACTTGCTTAATGGTGAAATAGTTGTGTATTTTCTGTATCTACTAGAGTTTGGAATTAAAGTGTGGGTAAAAATTTTCTAGCTATGTAGAACGACTGGTGGAACACCATCTTCCTATTCCCATTTCCTTATATTTAATCTTGTATCAAATTAATATAAATCCTAGCTAATATCCATTGGTTTGTAAGTTTGCTTCGTTCTTTTTTTTTTTTTTTTTTGGTGTTAAATAACATTATGGCATTTATCCGGTTTTTTTTTGTTGTTTTTGGTAAAGCTTTTAAAGGTAACTCCCTAAACTGAATTCAAACAAAGACATGTGGTCATGCTGCCTGAAGGTAACAAGTGATGTTATTGTCTGCTGCTCCCCAAAATCCTAGTAGGTTTAGAAAACAGATTTGGAGATAGAAAGGCAACTCATGCAAGATGGATACAACCAGTAAATAAGACAAATTATTCAATGTGTATTACACATAAAACAATTTATGACAAATAATAAAAAAAGAAATGTACAAGTGTGTTTGGTGTATAAAATGTCCATAACTGAAATGTAAATATGTATGAGTCTTTTTTTTTTTTTTTTTTTCAAAACTATGAAATATGTCCTGGTTGTGAAGGCTGCATGTCCACACAATGCAATGTCTTTCTACAGTGGCAAACTGTTGAAAAAATGGCAATTCTCTCACTGAATAAAAATGAAATTTACTGGAAGTCTCCAAATGACAACTAGACTCTTCCTATTCTGTGCAGAATAGAAAATTCTTGGTGAATGGAATGATGAAGAAACCTGAAATATGGTAGAAGATAGAACAAAATGGTTAATTTGTTGTTCAATAAAATTAATGTTGAAAATAAAAAAAAAGTAATAAAAATTGAAAAAAATTTTTTTTTGATTACCTAATTTTTAAAAAATATTGGCTAAAGAAGATTTTATAAAAATTGCCAAAATTGTTGTTCATGTTTTAACATCTTTCAACAATCTCCACTTTGTACAGTGAAGCTAAAAATTTCTGTTACAAGAAAAATGAAAAGTGACCTAAAAAAGATTCTTAATAGCAGTGTTAATTCAATTTAAATTCTATTTGCATTTATTTAATCTTGTAATTGTATTTTTTGCTACATGCAATATTCACCTTTTTCATGAATTTTTTTTCTTAGCTTAATCATTAATCTTCTCAAATGTTAATCAGTTATTCTATTCAAGAATTTCTGGTTATTTTAAACTTAGTTGATATCACAAATGGAGGGAATAGTGGTATAGATATATCAATGGTTGTTGTCTTGTGTCAAATTTAATCTACACTTGGTAAATATCAAGTTTAGAGGGCATGTCAGTCTGCCTTGAAATATATAGAGTTATTAAAATTCATGTCTATCAGTTTCTCCTTCTTCTCCTGTACCTCTTTTCAGATATACCAGTGCCCTATATATTAAAATTGCATTGATGAATGGAACAGGGTTAATGTGACATGGTTAGCTGTATTCTAGCAGTGTTAATTGTCAAAAGTAAGCTGTGGTAAAGAACAGCCAAGTGACAGTCAATGTGGCAAACAATAAAAGCATCTGTACATTGGCTTGCAGTTTTTTACAGGTAGCAATTGTATCTAAATGTTCAAATATGTAAAAGCAAAAAGATAAATACTTGCAACTTGGCCCAATCAGTTTAAATTTTTGAATAGTGTTATTAAAATTATATCTCATCTCACCTTCCTCTGGACACTTACTATCTCCTTGAGAGTTCATAGCACCACCAAGAGGTCCTTACTGCCAATATTGAGAATCATTGCATTAAAGGTTAAAGAAGGGGAATTACCCCCACTTGAGCTGCCAAGACACTGTCAGGTGGTGGTGTTTAAGAACTATAAAAGAAGGAACACAATTTCTTTTCTTTTTTTTTTTTTTTTTGCTCCAAGATGTAGCAATGTCAACATGCAAGCCCTTGTCTCCACTGGAGACAACTTCTTTCCCTGAGACCACTGAACTTCACACACATGTACAGGCACACATGATTGTCAAGCACTCACTCTCTCTCACATTCACACACTCTTACTCAATGTTTTCAAAAATTGTAATTTTTGTGAAAATACATTGTTATTTTAAAACATGTTTGTTTATTTGTTAGTTAATATCATGTGAAAGTTTTCGTTGCCAATGATTTTAGTTTATCAAGAAGTAGTGACACTGCAAAAACATAAATTTTAAAAACCTGTTTGTAAACTTGATTTGATTGATTAACCAAAAAATGTTTATTTTGATGTTTATTATATTCAGGCTCAGAAAAGATAATGTTTGAAAGACAATACAAATAAACATTAAAATATGGACAGTAAAGTCATGAGATGGAAAGGTGGCTTAATAGTTATCAGCAAAGAAAGTTTGAATATTGCTAAAGCTGCTTGTATTCACTTAGCAGGAATCCCCTTGTAACACTTGAGCAAATAAACACTTTCATAACTATATTACCTACCCAGGCAATGCTCATAGTAAAAAGTTATTCTACCTGTTGTTAACCATGACAAAGTACTCTTGTTAACAAAATCAACCATGACTCGATAATTTGATAATTGCTATCCATATAGGGAGATTGATGGTTCCTTTTTAAAGAGCAGCATATGAGTGAATGGATCTTTTGTTGCATAGTGAAATTGGTTTGTCTGTTGCTGATGTTTCAAAGTTTCACTAGAATATTTTGTCAGGTATAAATTACTGCTTCTTCCTGAAATGTACATATGTAAATGAAGATGTGTATGTCAGATATCCAGCTGTGTGTCTTCCATTTGGTCTAAAATCTAAAAGAAGAATCTGCAATATTATTGGTACCTAGAGTTTTTGAATTTAAGTGAAGCACTAGATTGGCGTCAAGATCTCATCAATTTAGTGGTAGCCATAAATTCTATGCTAACAGTTTCTTCTCTTGCACTTCTTGTGGAACTCCCTTCTGGCTCCATGCCTTCCAGCCAATTTAAATCTGCAAAAATTTAAATGCAATGTTAATTGCTATCTACTGTTCACCTGATTACTCTCTTCTCTTTCTGCTCACCATTAATGTTTCTATTCCTAATTCTACCACACCCTGTAACTCCTTGTGTTTTAATGACATTACTGCCTTGCTTGGGGTGATCCCACTTTAAAAAAATAGTTCTGTTGCAAAATAAGTAATTATCTTTTTAGATGAATAAGGAGTTGCACACCAACTCAACATCCATCCCAGGATTCAATGGAAAAGTGGGATTCAGGACAGTTGGTGGATTTTCATTTGTAGTGAATGGCTATACCAAGTTTCTTAGTAAGAAGTGTACATTTTGTTGCTTCACATGACATGTATGCTCAACTGGTTTGAATTCAAAACTTTTTCTTCTCCTAGGTTGATTACCACTCAAGTTTAGGGATACCAGTCTGTCTTGCCATTTAACCTATAGCTGAGAGGCAGAACATTTGACTTCATACAATTCCCAATAGCATTTAAGCCCAACTTGAACAGTCAGAATTCTAACCATGTTTCCAAACCTATAGCCATTACTCTACCTGCACCTTCCTTCACAGATTTAGCTCCCTTTGTTGGGTCAACTGGAAGTTGCCGTCTCAAAGTCAGGAGTTGAATGACCAAAATCAGACATTTACACATAGGCTCCAAGTGACACTTTTGGCAGCATTTTAAAATATTTGAAAATAAAATTCATATTATTATCCAACCACTGACAGCGCTTCCCTTACATTTTTAAAGGGCTTCATAATGAGCCATAACATGCTACCTGGAAACTATAAACACCAAAGATAAAAAGGAAGGGAGAGAAGGGGATCCGCAGATCACTCATAAACTGAATCGACATTTCCCACTTGACTGACGTAGATTCCGCAACAAAGTTAAGTACCTACCTTTTCAAGGGTCTTATTAAATACACCTCAATGTGTGTAAGTGAATATTTCCTTTCTCCTCAAGGGATTTATTAAACACCCCTATATGTGTTTAAGTGAACTTTTCCTTTCCTCTCAAGGGCTTTATTAAACACACCACACAGTGTAGAAAACATCAAATAAATGATTACTTGTTACTAAAAAAATCTGTCTTTAATTTCATTCAAAAATTCACTTGTTTAATTTTAATGCATTGCATAACAATTACCATATTGCATGTTTTTCAAAATATGTAGAGATGAAATAATTTGCTTTCATTTCATACAAATTGAGACAAAGGACTTAACCTGTCATAGTTGGATGCAAATCAGCTTACCTATTTTACAGATGTTGGTTACCATGTTTCATTCAGTTGCAGAACTCAAATTAAAGGAATATTTCATGGCATTTTCAGAGACAGTGGGTTAATAATTATAAACATAAATTTTTTTTTGTCTTTTTTGTATCTTTCTCTTCAATTTTGATAATTTTATTTTTTCAAGATTTTTAGAAAATTATACCAAATCTAAGAATCTCCAAGAGTCTTCAAAGGATTCTCTATTCAAAGAACTGCGACATATGGACCACCAGATTGCCCTGATGGATGAGCTTGCATTGAAAATGGAGGAGGAGTGCCATCGAACAAAACTGGTGAGAGAAAAATCTAAAGCAGTAGTTTACAAACTTTTCATAATGAAGGCCTCATCATATATTCTACACTTTTTAATAGTTTAAAGAAAAAAAAAATCAGTTTTAATAATGAATGATTAAATTTTAAATAAAAGGAAACGTTGTTATCAGCATGGTTCAGAATAAAAAGAAAATGGTAACAATTAAAAACAAACACCATGTGGGCTGGCCATGAGCCCTTGTTTGGCAACCTCTCAGTTCTCGTGTTTATATTTTAAATGTTATTAAATATTATTTCTTACTGCTCATCTCACAACATCATCTCTTTGAACTGTGAAAGGAAAATATGCTTTTATTTTCATAGTTGAGTCAAGTCATGCACAGAGGCTAGCTGTTCTCAAAGAATTTAAATGGTTAAAAAAAGCTATAAGAACTTTAACTCGGATAAAACTTTATATTCAAGTAATCAAATCTACTAAATGTAGCAAAAGTGAAAAGGAGGAGTTGTGGGTAGTATTAATATTTCACTTAAATGAAAGCAAAGCTATATCGCAATGTTGTAATAATCAGACGTAGAAGCCCTGCCGGCTACAGCTCTGTCCTGTCTCTCTGGTGGTTCTGGCCGAAAAGTAAACCACCCGGTCCTCCGCCGGTGAACTGAAGGAACCACCACTATCCGCCAGGTTGTGAATTTTTGATCCGAACAGCAGTATTTCGATCACCGAGAACGATCCGGAGGTAGGATGAATTAAATGGCTGGGCTCCACACGGAAAGAAATCGCTATTTGTGCAGAGAGGTTCTTGTCGTAACCACATAGGCACAAAGAAAGTAAAAATATAAGCAACACTTTCAGTTCCTGTACAAAGAGCCCTTTAAGGCTACTGTTTTTATATCACTACCAATGAAATTGCACGAATACAAACTGTCTTAACGAGATTCACTCGTTTGGGTCGGAACGTCACAGAGAGAGAAAGACACAATTATGCTGGTCGAAATTCGGCTGTACTAAGGGAGATAAGTTGTGGTTCTTCATCCGCCCCCTCCGATATAGCAGTCGGCTTTTCTCAGCTTTGTTGACGAAGTTATCAGGATGCGCATTTCTATCTCTGGGTACGATTCAGACTTTTTGACGCATGCAACCAACTGGCCAGATCAGCAAGACCCACTAAGCCGTTTCCGCTGCGTTTTCCTTCGCGTTCTCTGATCTGTGATCTCTCTTGCTCTCTCTGCCATGTCTGCTGCTTCTCTCGCATTCCGACGCATTCTCTGATCATATCTGCTCAACCCACGTGTGCAGGCCGCTTCTATAGAGAGAGGCGAAGCTAAACAGTTTTTTAGGCACCGCCCATGAATTTTAATATGCAAATCGCCTGGACCACTATGTGTCTTTCGCTGGATCTCCGAAGCTCTGCAGGAACCCAGTTTTTAAGAGGTACTAAAATCGGATTCGGACTCCCTGCTGGGTTTTCTGCAGCCAACGTCCACTTAAACCCGGCAAAAAGCACTTATCTCATCTGAGGACTCTGGCTGGATCTCGCCCGGCAGAGCACCCACAATCCAATTCACCATTTATCACAAGCTTTACCTAACGAACCCGTCCATTAATTACTCTGGAATTAATTCACCTAGTTAATTAATAATTCAATCCCAGAAACAACTAAGTAAAAAGAAAAACTTATTTCTGGAATTACTCTGGAAGCTCTTCTCCCCAACTAATTAGTACCTTCTTCCCAATCTTTTAGAACCATTGATTAATAAACCGACCTGGGGTGGGGTCTCTCTTTCTGTTACAATTATTAGTGATCTTTTATATCTCCAAGGAAAAACAATATCTAAGGTTTAAAATTCTCTTTGTTAAAAATATTTAAAAAATAAAATTTACTTTTCTGAAACTTTATTTGAAGAAGATTAGCTGTTTTAAAGTTTAATCAATCTGATTTGTAAAAACAAAAAAAATATTACTTTTGGTTTAAAATATTGCAGAAATGCATTTTTTAACACACAGGTAGGTGTTTTTATGATATATTGACAACCTGATGTTTGGGAAATTTAACTAATTTTTTCTATGAAGAACATATCCATAAAAATTATGTAACTAATATAATGTGTGAGCCTTTTTTATATAATTTTTTAACTACCCAGTAAGCTTAAAAATTTAGGAAAATATTCTAAGTAATCTAATGTTTTATTGAATTTTATGTACTTTGGCTTTAAATTTACTATAGTTACCTTATTTTCTGATAATGTTGTGTATGGGTGTCTGTATTTACAAAAATTGGCACATTTATACAACACACAAAAAAATTCAAAATTTTTAAGAAAATACTGGGGGTTGTTGAATTGTAGTAAGCTTTTCCATTTATGATTAATAAATATTGTTTTTTTACCTAACCTTGCATTAGTAACATTGGATTTCTAAAAATGGATAGTGCCTTCGACAACAACTGCACCACACTGCATGCTATACATCTTCACCGAGTCAGGAGAGTAGTGGGGGGAAGCAAAAAGAAATGTTACCAACTAAGAATTACAAGAAGTTTAAAAAATTGAGGGTAACAAAGCACAACATAAGACAAAAGCAGGATTAATAACAATATGACCTAACCAGTATAAATTAATAGAGAGTTTAAAAAGATTTAAAATTTTATAAATTATTCTAATTAAAAGTTTTAAAAAAGGAAAACAATTCTTGTAAAAATTCATCAAAAATATTTTTTTCTTTAAACTTATTGTTTATTCCATTGGTGGTTGTGCTAGCACAAAGTCACAAGTCATCGTGACTGAGAGTTTGAGTGTGCTAGCCTTGTTCAGACTGTTGATCACACTAGATAACGTGCGCTCTCTCAGAAACTGTAACTAAGGTCTGCTCAGCATAGTTGCAGTATAAACCACAGGTGGGCTTTGTGGGTATTGAACAAACACAAATGTGCCTGAACATGCATCTGCAATGGGGATTAGCTAGCTGCCCTAGTAGACTGGCATTCTCAAATTCGAGTGGCTGCACCATTTACCTTACCTATCTTGGAGAATACTGGGTATGCCAGTATTTTACATATGCTTGGCAGAGGAATATCATTGTTGACAGCAAGGAGATACCGTCTCAAAAAATGAGACACTGCAACTTTTAGTTGGAGTTGGGAAGCCACTTGGAATGCCCTTGAAAAACATTGTGATCACTAAATCTAAGATAATCATTTTTATTTATATCTTGTAATTGATAATATCTTTCTCTTTTTCATATTTTTTTCTTTAAGTTTTCTCATCGTATGGATGCTCTGATTGCATTGGAACCTGAATTGGGAGGCACTCTGGATCAGGATGCAGCAGTAATTCCTGAAAAAAGTTCCCAGATTTCCAGATTTTCATCCTCTCCTTACCATTCAAAACCTCCTCCTTCACCATCTGACAAATCACAAACTACACAGTGGACTGTACCTGCAACATCTGGTAAAAAAAACAGCCAGCAACTTGATTCAAAGGTACCAATGAAAATTTCAATAAGTTTTCAAAAGTTCATTTTTTTTTTTTTAAGTGTTCAAGAGAGCTTCTATAACCTGAGCCACTGGCTATTCCAACCACAGCACAGTTATAGTGATTGGGGCTACTATAATTCAATAAAATGTGATATCAACTCTTTTGTATTAACTCTGCTCCATTTACCAGTGCAATTTCAATATAGGATGCACCATCCCAGACAAATATCTGAAAAGGGGTGCTAGTGCAGAAAGAAAGCAATAATGCAAATATGCATACTTTATTTATATTTATCTGCAATATAGTAAATCATGACTTTGATTTTGTCACTACAATAATAGGCACTTTTCAAGACATTATGTTGTTTTGCTGTTGCACATGATTTCTAATAATCAACTGGCTAGTTGATGGAAGCAGTTTCTCATCCTAAATCGTTTTTTGCATTACTTGGCTTTACTTATTTTTTTAAATGATTCAGTGAACATTTATCTTTATCTTGATTGTTATAGTTACAGTGTTTTGGCCATTGTATTTTTCTTCAGATATCTGTTGTGTTCAGTAGCATTCTTTAAATTTTGAATTAAATTGAACCCTTTATTCAATCTACAAAAGGTAAACTATTCATGTTCTACTGTTCATACTATGGATTAATTTGTATCAGTTTATTCTTCTGTTATTTTATCCTTTTAACAGATATTCCCAAGCATGGACATTAGAACAACCTACTCTTGTAGCTTGAATAAAGGGGTGTTTGTAAAACATCTGACAATGTTACTAAATACAGCAGGTAACTGAAGAAAATTTGAAAGTATAATGGCTGAAACATTGTGACTATAACAATCAAGATAACAACTGTTTAAATTAATATATTAGGTTGTCATGCATGAAATGTCACATTTTATAGGAAATGAATAAAATGCTTTTGAAATGTTAAATAACTAATTTATTTAGTTGAAATAGGCACCATGTTGATGAATGACTGTTCTCCAACATATCTTTAAATTCTTGATCTCATTTTTAAAAAAATTCTCATTCTTTGATGTAATGCTTCGATTACCTCTTCCTTATTGGAGAATGTTTTATTGTGTATGAAAAGCTCAAAATGCTTAAATAATTGACAATCAGTAGGAGAGATATCAGGTGAATATGGAGGATGAGGCAAAATTTCATAATTCAAGCGATGCAGCTTTTGAACAGTTGGTTAAGAAGCGTGCTGCTGTGCCTTGTTGTGCAGCAAAATTGGGCCATAAAAATAAGATTATGTATAAATCAGCACTTGTACCTTAGATCAGAGTGTGTGTGTATATATATATATATATATATATATATATATACTTTTAAACATTATTTTTAGTGTAATTAAAGTAACAAAAGTATGTTGGATTAATAAATAAAAAATCCATTAATTCTTTAGAAATTGTTTTGTTTACATTTCGGATATGGAACTGAACCATTATGATTTTCAATAGAGATCTGAATGAGTAAAGTGTGCTTTCAAGGTAAAATAGAACCTTGCTGTATTAAGAAGTTGTCAAAGCATGTCACATCAAACAGTGGTTTCTGCTTCAAAGTGTGATTCATGTTTAAATCCTGCCAGAGGGTGCATTGTATTTAATAAGATTTCTCAAATGTTCAGGCTGGTAGATGAAATAAAATACTGTTTAAAAAATAAACTGAGTGCCTATTCAAATATGGTTATTCAATAAAGTTGGGATATCAGGTTGGTTGTTTTTGTTTTTTTTCCTTGAGGTTATGCATTATCTATACTACTTCCTAGTCTAACTTGCTAATACTGTAATATTAAATGGATTTGAGAGTCTTATGTGCTGTCAAATATTGTGTTTTTCAGAGATGAGAATGATTTCTAATCTAATTGACTGCACCTTTTTCTAAGTTATTTCATAAACCTAATTGAGGATTTTAACTGACATATATTTTGGGGATTTTGATATATTTATACGATTGATCAGTTTGGTGAATGAAAAGGTCTGTCATTATTGCAATCGTCTCAAAATGTAAATTCATCACTGAAACTAATGAAGTGTTTGTTAAAATGTTTCTTTTTTCCGATACTTGGACAATGAAATATCAACTGTAATTATTTATCGGGAGGATGAAAGTATTTTTTTATATACTTTTATTTTGCAGTGTTCAGGCACAGCTGGATAATGGTATCTTTGAAAGCAGTCTAAACATTAGCTTAGCATGGTATATTGTTATTGTTTTAGGTACCTGAGACTAAGAACCAAGTCCTGGTGCCTCATTTGAGTACCCAGCCTCCCACCCAGAGAAAGAGTTTGCACTCTGATACTGACCAAATCAAGAACCAGAAGGCAGAAGAGTAAGAATTATTTCTCCACTTTTATTTATTTATTTATTTATTTATTTTTTTTTATTTTTTTTTTTAATGAAATTTGAAAAGAAAGAAAAGAATGTCATGGAATTTATCAGTTGCCATGCATTAAATGGAAACAGAATAGTTTCTCTCTATTTTAATTCTTTTAATCATTTTTACTTGTTTTTTCTTTCTTTTTTTTTTTTTTTTTTTTTTTTTACAAGGGTCAGCTGAAAAGTTCATAGGCTGACCAAGATATTCTCATGGAATGTGACCAAATGAGGTTTATTTTTCAACATAGCCACCCCTGTGGACCACCCACTTCTTTCATTTGTGTCACAGTGCTTGAATCCCATTGGTGAAAAGCATTCATCCTGTTGATCAAAATGTCATCAACAGCAAATATGACATCATCATTACTGCAATACTGGTTCCCAACCAAGTGTTTTTTCATGTCAGATGAGGCCAAATCAGGAGAATAGGGAAGGTGACCAGCTAGTTCAAAGCTACAGTCTTGCACAGCAGCCATTGAAACCAGGAATGTGTGTGCTAGAGCATTGTCCTGATGAAACGAGATCCTTTTCGTTGATTTTCCTGGGCATTTGGTCATTCTAAACTCTCAGAACTGCCTCAGAAAATTGGCATAGTACTCTCTATTGATGGTGTAGCCTTTTTGAAGATAGTCAATAAACACAATGCCTTTTGCATCCCAAAAAATTGAGACCATAATCTACTCTGCAGATGAAGCGACCTCGGCCTTCTTTGTAGCAGGTGAGGGGTGTTTCCGCTGTTATCTATCACCATATGGTGAGCATGATCAATGTTTTCTTTGGGAGTGGCAGTTGCATGATGACCAGACCTTAAGTCCTCTTCAAGACTCTCCCTTCCCCTTCTAAATTCAGCTTACCACTTTTGCACTATTGATAAAGATGGAGTGTCACCCCCTAATGTAGCAACCATGTCAGCATGAAAGTCCTTGGGAGCTAAACACTTTTTCTGCAGGTACTTGATAATATCAAGATGCTAAATTTTATCCATTTTCAAGAGAAGTTGCTACAAGTTACTTTTGAAGTCTTCTTTGAACGGTCAGATGTCAGTTTACCTGGAAAGAAACAGTTCAGTTATTAATAAGACGATTTGAAATTAATGTATGAAAGATTTCACAGTTCTAGCATCCCTCCATAACTTTTCAGCCCACTCATCATAAACTTTTCAGTTTCCCCTTGTATTTAACTAAAATTCTCCATACAGAAGTGTGTACCATTATTACAATGATTATAACCATAGTAGTGTGTTTTCTTTGCCTTTATATCCTTGTCTCAAAAACACCTGACAATAAGATGCTCATGAAATTGCCACTCAGTGGTTCAGACAGAATAATCAGATATCAGATTTCATACTTGATAACAAAAATTGTTTTTGAGCTTATAAATTAGGGAACAATCTAATTTTAAAAAAAGTAGTAATTAAATTTGGACATATCTATTGCAAATTTCTGCTTGTAATGTCTAGCCTTATTAAAACAAATAGTGATAATTTGTTTGGTGACGGGCATCAGATTTTATTATTCAAATAAAATACAACATAAATTTTTATTTACAAGCGAATTCAATAGATCTGGTCATATTTGACTAACTTATCATATATATATATATATATATATATATATATATATATATATATATATATATATATATATATATAATAAAATATGTGTGCATGTGTGTGATTAAAATATTATTTTTACATATGTTAATACAGCTTTCTTAACATTCTTTAACTTCCATCATTCTTTTATTCATTTTGTTTATTTTTCTACTGCTTCAATTTTAAAGTTACTTTTAGTAGCTTTTATTCACAGAGATTTTCTTTTCTTAACTATTGTTTTCCATTCTGATATATGTCTCTTTTAATAATAAGTCTCTCAAGTTTCATATTGGATTAATATCTGGAGAAGCTGAAGGACTATTTCATTAATTTGCCTTTTCTCACTTTACCAAAAAAAAAAAAAAAATCATTAGCTTTCCAGAATGTGAAAGCAAATCATTTTGCATGAATATATTTAGCTTTGTGATTATGAACTGTACCACTCAAAAACGTCTTGTTCAAGAACTTAGAATAATTTTCTGCATCTGTCATCAACTTTAAAGGAACTTATAAATCATACTGCCTCCAATACTAGTTCAAAACATTACTTCACTGTATCCTCTAAATTGTATTACATAACTATTTCCATAAAAGACCCAACCTGTATAGCTCAGATCCATCTGGTCCATCCAATGGTGCTCTACATTAATCAATAAAAACTACTGTTTAGAAATCAATTTTCTTTTATTTCTTAAGCCAACTTACATATTTATCTTTGCAATATTTACTTGTGATACTTTGGTTGCTTTTGTGTCTTTAGCCAACATTTGCAAATCTTTTTCTGTTTACATTTACAACACCAGCTGCTCCTACTATTGTTTTGTTGTTGTAACATTCTTAAAGAAATTTTTTTGTGTTTTTGTCAATGTTTTAAGTTTCCTTTTTGATATATTTATTTACAAGATGATGAACAACCTTCCAATTGCATAAGAAAATCTCACACTAATAAATGAATATTTCTGATAAAAGTATAAACTGAAATCCACAGGGTATATTTATCCTATAAATACATTTGACATGTTGCCAACATCAGTTGGCTACTACCAATTTTATTACAAAAAACATTGACTTGCATGATAAAATCTGATATAGATTAAGTTCCAATAAGAAGGAATTCACATATTACACTGTCTGCTAGATCATGACTATATTTATACTAGAATCAGCATTAGTAGTGGAAGTAGTAGCAAAAACTAATTTGCATATGAAACATTCATAATGTAAGTATTATGCTTTATGCAAAATATACATTGGACTGAATCAGTTCAAATGTTCAATGGTTCAAAATATTTCTGTTGATTAATTCACTGACTTTCTTGACTAGTAACTTATTCAATCTCAGTTTTTCTTCTCTGATCAGAATCAGCTCTCAGCTCAGTTGATGCTTCACCTGGTCCTTGTACAGTCTCAGTTAACAGAGTGCCTCAAGGGACTGTCTTAGTGACAGTTTTCTCTTGTCTGCCAAGACAGACAAAGGCATTTTTAGAGTTAGCTACAAGTAATTGTAGCTCAACCTGATTGACAAAGGTTCAAACTTCGTCAGGCATATGTCATAGCATTAAAAGTCTGTTGGATTGAGACAACCACATAGGAAGTGTATATCCATTTCAAGGTGCCCCTCAGGTAGCCAACTATTTGTTCATATGGTTCTTGTGAATATTATGTAATGAAGAAGCTGTACAGTTTCTCACATTATTCTCTTTTTAGACTTCACATCTTGAGGGCTTGTAATACTTTCTTCCAGTTTATTCTATTGTATCGCTTTACTTGGCTATTTCCTTGTATATTACATGCATTGAAATGATTTCTATACCATATTTGCATTGAAAAGTATTTACTTCTTTAGGTATAAATGCCTGGTCTTGAGCTGAGTAAATATACACAAACATCTCAAAAATGCAAACAAATTGATGATAATCTATAACTGTGTTGTTATATCACTATATGAAAAGTGTGGAAGAACTATTTGGTTGTAATAATTCCTCATCCCACTGGATAAAGATTCTCTCAGCCAAGATTGTGGGGTTATCTCAGTGCAATGATTTTCTCCATTTTATATTCTTCCTGCACAGGTCTGTTTTTGAAAATTCATCTGGATCTACTGATGAATTGCAAGATAAAGTTTTCTTTGAACCTCAAGAACAACTATGATATGGAAAGACAATGAGAAATCTTCTTGTATTCATCAATTATAATTAAAATGTGTATTGATTTTTACTTAATGTTGGTAAAGTGCTCTTAAAGTATTTAATTTCATTGCACACATTTTTTATCCTTTTGATCTCCATTGGTTGGATGAATTGTGTGCATTTGGGTTAGTGTCAAATTGAGCCAGTTTCAAAAAAATCTATCCATTGAAAAGTAAAATTTGTAATGAAAAGGTTTGCTTGACTGATCCTATTTGGAAGTTTTACACTGCAATAAATTTACTAGTTTTAATACAAAGTAATTCACTTAGTAGATTTTTTCTTGTATACTTGTTTGAACAGGCTGGGTTTAAATTGGAAATCCTGTATGTACATGTAATAAGGAAAATAATTGCTCCACTCCATCAACATTTCCCTCTGGGATGCATTTTCTCAAGGAATTAACAACCTCTTCTTTCAATAATGAGAGATGGTGAGTGGTGCTGCTTGGGAAGACAGGCTGCTGGAGCTGAGCATACTTAACCCTGACTGGCTAAGTAAGTAATCACACTCAGCTACATGCTGAATATATATATATATATATATATATATATATAAAATAGTAGAAGGCGGAGTAGTAATTGGTAGTAGTTGTGATAATATCAAACAAATTTGCCTAACAACCTCTAAATACTTCTGAAAATACTTACCATTTTGTCACTTAATATTAAATTAAAAATATCAGGATATCTAGCAAAAAGTGGATGTTCACCATCTGTGACTGGAGAATTTTTTGCTTTTTGGCTTTAATTAATGGAATTCACCAACACAAATTCCGAGAGGAAAGAAAAACTTTCTTTACTTTTGAGAAGAATTATTACCATTCAAAGAATTGTTCAGATTATTGAACATTTTTGGTTGGTTGAGTGGAAGTGGAGGACAGAGAGATATTCCCTCCAATTTTTCTTACAGATGGTACATCTAAAAATAGACATAGATTAATGGATTACTATTGTGCTGATAAGAAAAATCAACAAAAACTAATTTGAACAACTGTTGGAATGAAGCAAGAGCTGTAATGAGAAAACACAAAATGAAAGAAAATGACATAGAAAAATGGTTCCGATCAGAAAAAAAAAAAATAAATTCCCATCGTTTGACTTGGGGCCCTCTTTGCCAAATAAAAAGTTTGTTTTATTTTTTTTTTCCACAATACGGATTTTTTATTTGCTACATATTTTTATTATTTTTAATTTTATTCAAATGTATCTACAAGAATGGATCAATAAATCTGTAGTTATTAGCCGAATTTTGATTTGAAATTTTCACTGCATAATGTTTGATCAATACAATTAATATTTACCACTTTATATTGAAAAATAAATAGTTAGAAAGCAAAATAGTTTCTTTTTCATCATTATGTTACAAACTTATTGATGTGTATGGATTTTATTTCTATTATATTCTGATTACCAAGTCAGCCTGAAAACTCAATGTAATTTCCTGTAATCCACTTTTCTTATTTCATTTGATTCTTATTCTATATTATTTTTGCTTTACTTTCTTTCCTCTTCTCATATGGTTTCATTAATTTTGGAATATCTTCTGATGCCTTAATTACTCAACTAAATATCATCACACACACACACACACATTATATATATATATATATATATATATATATATATAATTAATGGATTTATTTTTAATCCAACATTGTTATTACTTCAAACTTATTTTTAGTGAATACTCATGTTTGAAATAGACGCCCTGTTTTTTATTTTAAACAGTTTGTATTACATTTATCTGTTGGTCTGCTTGTGCACTGAAGTTTCTTTGTAAGGAAACCCCACATGCCATAATAGCCAGCAAGTGAGAAAAAAAACACAGGGCATTTATTTTGAACATGGATATCCACTAAAAATGCATTTTAAGTAATATATTACAGAATTTGTTTCTATATCTGTGTACCTAATAATATACTATGGTATAATAAAGCATAAAAAAACATGCCAACAAATAATCCTCACAAGAGAGATTTCTTTTTTTTTCCACCTGTAAATGTGGGCTGAAACTTGCCTCAGAATTTAGTTGGCCACAATATGAATAAAAAGGTCAAGTGTCTTTGTGAGACAACAAAAGACAATAAAGAAATCCAACACAGAAAATAAATCAACCTGACTGCAGGAAACCAACATTAAACTGAATAAGCAAAAATTCAAATAAGCAAGTAAAAGTTTAGCTAGCATTGCACACTTGTTGCCTTTTCTTTATTTAGAAATCACAATATATTGTTTTGTATTTATAATTATGTTTTGTTGTTTTTTTTATGACTTTCAATTAGTGCTATATATATATATATATATATATATATATATATATATATTAGAGAGAGAGAGCAAGAGTGTGTGTGTAAAGGTGTATTAGGTTTAGTTTGTTTTCTCATTTCATGTAGTAAGCATCATGACCCACTCTTAAAAATCTTTTATTTTCATAGAATAATGAATCTGTCAGCCCTCAGTGGTGTTAGTGATATTATTGCTGACCTCATAGGCAAGGGAGATATTAATTTGACAGATGTTGGCCTCATGCCGGAAGACATTGAACAGTTTACAGACAAAATATCAACAAGGTAATTATGTTTTGATTAACCCTCTATCATTAATTCTAAGCCAATGCTTAACCCACTCTGCTTGAAATCACCTTGGTGATAATCTCCAGATATATTTCTTGACAAATGTGTGATTGTATTTTAAATATGTTTTTTCCCTCTTTCAGTTTCTGCAATGCTCTTGCGTATCATTTTAAAAATTTTCATTAATCAGACTGATTCATTTATTATTACTATATTGTTACTAAATAATCTTTCTCTAATGTGGATCTATTTTATATCTGTTAATAATTCCATGAAGAGTCCTGTACTAAGAAAGGTATTATTATATCAAGAAGAGAATCATAACAATATTAAACATAAAGTGAAATACCAAAAGTTTAGAGACAGATTCCTAATTCATAACCTAATTATAACAAACCATTACTGCATAATACTACATGGATCAATTGGCTCATTTGAATGACACAATAGAAAAGAAAAGACACTTTTCTAAGCAAGGAACTTGACTACCGATTTTGTTTCATCACAATGCTTCATCATGGAACCGAGTTCTGCATGCAGCATCTTTTCCAGACCTTTATCTTTCAGACAATCACTTGTTTGACACTATACAACACTAGAGTGAGTAATTGGCTCATCTAAATGAATTATTGGATTTCTTCTTTTGTCTCAAACTGTTATTGAATCTATGCATCTATTTTCTCAGATCAATGATTAAAAATGGCATCAAGCAAAAGAATCTGTTAGGTTTTAAAGATGATCTTTCATCGAACCCTGTTGACTGGTGCTACAAAACCACAAACAAATAGCTTTACCAAATAACAAAACCCACACCACTTAAAAGCTTCTAACAGCAACAAAAGCAAAAATGGGTAGCAAATATAGAAAAGAGTGATAACAGTTAATAGATTTGAGAATAGATTTGCTGAAAAATCATTTTAATAAAAAGATTTTCTAAATTTCAATTGACAGTAATACTGTTTTCTCTATAGAAACAACTAAATTCACCATTACCATACAATGTAGCATTACATGAGTACACTGATCCAGTTATGTTCCAGAGCTGTGCATAACTGTATTTTCAAGTATGACAGCAAAGAATTAAACTCTGCAATATGTCTCATGAATGGGGTTTAAATTTGATGGTCACAGGTGCCATTGGAGTACTTGTAAATCTATTGGAATCAGTTTTGTTATTCTCCATGATGGGTCTGGTTATGTTGTATTGCTGGAACATGCCATCACCACTAACAAGCATGGCAAACATGAATGGTTTGGGGTGATATAGCAGGGTAGTAGTATGTTCAATCAAGAACATTTTATAAAATTCTTTAAATTTTTAAGCAATGAATTGTGTACTGTTATCTGAGATCATGGCATCCAGAATGCCATATCTTGCCAACAGTTTGTGTAAAAAAATTACTGTAACTGTGGAAGTTGTTTTTTTTAAATTTTTTTTGCACTTACAAATTTCAGGCTACTTAGTAAAGTTATCCACTTCCATAGATCTCCATAATTTATATACAGTCCTGACCATGGAGTCTCTGTCTTTGGCCAAGGTTGTAATTTTGTGATAGGTGATTTTGCTGCCAGATCACAACCTCTGCAGGCTTTTTACTAATTTTTCAATATCTTGATCCATTTTTGTCTAGTATACATAGATTCTCATAAGAGATTTCATCCTTGAAATTCCTGAATGTCCACTATGAAATTCATTTAATATCTGCTTTTGTAATATGATAGTGCAACATCAGTATTACGTCACATAGCAAGTAAACATTCAAGCCTGGATTGTCTACTAAAAATTGTCTATCTTTCTTCTAGTCATTTTTATATTTTCAAAATAAACATGTCTTGTTCTGCTTTTACTTTTATTTCTTCTAGTGTCACTGATAGTTTGCATACTATATTACATAATATATTTTTAATTTTTATTTTACTTTTTAATGCTGCAATAAAAGTGTCCTGAAATGGTTCAGTATTTTGTGGTAACAATCTTGATAAACCATCAATGTGTCCTAATTTTTTGGATGGTTGGTATTCCATCTTGAAATCATAATTTAATAAGATGATACTCCAGCATTGTAATCTATTCACTGTATGCATAAGAATTCCTTTTTTGAACCATAAATTGGTAATAGAAGATGGTGGTCCATCTGTAAATGAAAACTCTTTCTGGGTATAAATTTGTGAATTTTTTCTCACTGCAAATATTATTGTTAATGCCTTTTTTTTTTCGATCTGGTTGTAGTTTTTTCTGCCAGTAGTAGCGAACATGAAGTATGTTTGATGGCTTTCATTTTACTATCATCATATTTATGTAGAATTACCATTCCTATACCATAGTCACCAGCATCTGAAGTCAATACTATTTCTACTTTTGGATTGTAAGCTGATGATGAGTATGATGTTAATATTTTCTTCTTCTTTTTTTTTTTCCAAATGCTTTCTGCCACTTATCAGTCCAGTTCCACTTTATGTCATTTTTAAGCAAATTGTTCAGTGGAGCTTTCATATTCTGCAGATTAGTTATATAGATTTGATAATACTTTGCTAGTTCTAGTAATAATTGTAATCTAGTAACGTTTATTGGAGGAGGTATATTCTTAATTGCACTTGTCCTCGACAGAACTGGTTTACAACCATTTTTATCAGTGATTTGTCCTAGGTACTTGATTTCAGGCAAACCTGTATTTGCAAATAAGCTTCAGAAAGATCAAGCTTTGAAAAAATTTTTCTACTGTTTAAATCTGCAAAAATTTCCTCTTGACTTGGTAATGGATGGTTATGGGATTCTAAATATTTATTTAACCCTGTCAAAAAATCAGCACAAACACAATTTTTTTTTCTTTACATACACTGCTGGTGGTGACCATTTTGAATGGTCGATCTTTTCAATAAAACCTATTTTTTTATTTAACAGCTTGATTTCTTATTTGTTTTGTAAATATTTTTAAAATATTTTCACTGAAATAATTTACAACGAAGATGCTGTATGGGTGTGCTGTCCCAAAATGCAAAGGAAATTATAAAAATGGACCAAAGGTCTAAAGTGAATATATTTTAATTTCTAAAAGATAAGTATTAATCAGATGCATGGATACGTGCTATCAAAAAGGAAAATTTTGTACCAAACAAAAATAGTAAAGTGAATAATTTATTTTATATTATTTCTCTCTCTTACATTATTTGTAAAAAGCATTTAAAACTTTATAATTAAATTAATAATTTCATTACTTTATAATTCATGATACACTGAAATAAAGTAATGAAATGGATTCCACCATTAAAATTTTTTATTAATTCTTTATTTATTAAATTATCATTTTTTAATAAAATTTTCGATACAAATACTTAAAGGAAATTTTTATAATAATTTTTAATAAGCATTTAAGAAAAACAGACATTTGAATTTTTTTATTTGTAAAAAAAAAAAAAAATATTTCCATAAAAAGTCTACAAATATGCATGTGTAAACTTAAAATTTGCTTAAGTTTACATATGATTTTGTCTGTTTTGTATTTTTTAAATTGTTTTAAATTTTGTTGTTGAATTTTAGAACACCTACAAAACTCATTTTATCAATTTAATGAAATTTTTAATAAAAATATGGACAGCATAGTTTTTTTTTTACTATCTTAGATTTTAACATATTTTAAAAAATAGGGTTTAATTGCCCTTTTAATTCAATTTTTTAGGTATGTGAACTGCATTTTTGTCCTGAGAACATAAGGCGAGAAACATCAGCATTCCATAAGAAAACTGGTACCACAATTAATGTTAGCCTTAAGAAAGCAATTCTTCCTGTAGGTGCAATCCCTAGAATTTTACCAAACTGTCCCTCATATTTATTTTCACTAACCCCCTCTAGAGATTCACCAGAATCCAGAAAAATTTAACTGGAGAATTCTTCCCTTAAAAAAGATTTAGATCAAAGTATTGCTGAAGATTTTGAATACGAACAGCAGAGGAAATTCCACAGCATTACATGATATAGAGGGGAAATTAAATTTTCTTGGTAGAAATTACTGGAGTATCGTGAGGAAACCAAAGACTCTTCTTATGTAGCATCATCAAGTTTTCATATCCAAAAATCACTCAATCTGTAATAATTGAACCTGATTTTTCAGTACATGTGTTCTGTGGTGGTGTGGAAATGAATACTATAGAATAGTATCAGATTCCTGATCCTTTAATTGATAAATACTTTGGAAATTATTACTGAACAGATGAAAAAAATGGACATAGAAGAATGTCAACCAAATCTCAAAGTGTGATTACTGTATTAGATTTGGTAATGTTCTTTCTGTTATTAGTGCAAGATGAGTCATTTAAATATTTTTATGCAGTTAATTTTATATATGAGCAGCTAAAATTAGTGACACAGTTTGATTATTCAGCAGAAATGATGATTTTTTCTTCATTCTTGTATCAGGTCATCCCATAAGTTCTGTCCGAATTTTGAATAAAGAAAACAAGTGACCAAATGTTACATTTAATTACAGATTCAATCAACAATGTATTTTCCCTGATTATCTATGACTTCCTTCCATCTATTAACAAGCTTACTAATTCCATTACTGTAAAATTCTTTTGGCTTTGATTCGAAGAACTCACAAATGTCAGTTTTAACCTCTTCCTGTGTTACAAAAGCTGTTTCTTCCAAATGATTCTGTAAGCTACAAAACAAATGGTAGTCTGAAGGAGCAAGATCGGGAGAATAAGGTAGATGAGGAATTTTCTCCCAACTAAGTTCTTCGATCTTTTATGATGTGATTCTTGCTGTGTGGGGTCACGCATTGTCCTGATGAAACATCACCTCTTTTCAATTCACTAGAGCAGGTCTTTTTTTTCTCAAAGCTTGGTTCAAACGCTCTAATTGCTGACAGTATATTTGAGCATTAATTGTTGCATTAGGTGGTAAGAATTCAAAGTGGATTATTCCTTGGTGATCCCACCAGATTGAAAGAAGAACCTTTTGCCCATGAAGTTCCCTTCTCGGCTGTGGCTGGGGTCCTTCCCCTTTACCAAGCCACTGTCTACGACGCTTAACATTTCGATAAAAGATTCATTTTTTGTCGCCAGTCACAAGTCTATCCAAAAAAGGCGAAACAAGTTAGTGAGAATGGAGAGAAGAGCAGATGTCAACTCGGGATTTGAGGTTGTTTTCAGACAATTCATGAGGCACCCATTTTCCAAGTTTAGGATCTTTTCCAAGTTGTTGAAGATGATGATGAACAGTTGTATGGTTTGAACTGAGAACCACTGCCAATTCCTCGACTGATAAAGCAGGATTTTCTTCAAGGGCTGCTTCTCATCAAACTCAACTGGACGTCCAGTTCGATCTTCATCTTCAAGGGTGAAATCTCCACCTCTGAATTTTGCAAACCATCTTCTGCAAGTTCTTTCATTCACACGTTCCTCTCCATAAACCAAGTGAATGTTTCTAGCCGCTTCAGCTGCTGAGTTTCCTTTCTTGAACTCATAAAACATTATGTGCCTCAAATGATTCTTGGGTACTTCCATGTTAGCAGGGTTTTAATCAAACAAAATTTAATTTTATTGTTCTCTGAAATAAAATTTGATCAGTTTAAATGCATCTAAACATAGAAATAATGTTCAACTCCATTAGACATTATAAAATACTCTTTAAATTTCATTCATTTTAACAAAAAGTTAAAATTTGGAAAGAACTTATGGGATGACCTGATATAACTGCTCCCCCCCGCCAGAGGTTATAGGCTGTTAAGAGACACCAAAAATATAATTTTCTTTAGTTATTCAGCCATCAGAAGATTAATCTTATCAACCTATACAAATCCTATAGTTGAGCAACATAACAATTTTCTTATGTATATTAAAAATAAGTTTAAGTTACTAGAGGAAAAGACATTACAGCATCTTTTACTTGTAGATGAAATTTACTTAAAACCTTATTTTGATTATAAAGGTGGTAATGTTGTTGGCTTAGCCAACGTAAGCAATGAGTCTGCAACAAGTGCTTTTGCTTTTATGCTTAGCAGTGTATTCTAACAATACAAGAATGTTGTACATATGCTAACTAAATGTCTTAAAGCTGAGAATTTATTTGACATAGTTGAATGTGTAATAATTGGTCTAGAAAAGATAGGCTTTAGATTTATAGCAGTCATAACAGATAATAGTACATTACATAAGAAAGCTGGATCTTTCTTTTGTAGTCCTGCAAAACTTTCAATTGTATATTCACATCCAGTTATGAAATCTAGACCTCTTTTTTTCATATAAATATGACCTATAAATGAGATGAAAAAATAAATTGACCTCAAAGGCTCTTTCTCCCACTAGTTAAAAAACTCAAAATGTTTCATTAGGTTTGAAAATTTTTAACCAATTCACTATTCAGGGATTGTTGACCTTAGAGAAACAGAAATGTTTGCCTAACTTTGCAGCATACAAAAACATATTTTATACTTGGTGGACAATACTGAATGAAAAAACATCATATAAAGGTTGGCAGCTTAACAATAAATATATTAATCTACTGATGATAACAATTATATATTCCTCAATGTATTCTGCAACTGGTTAGAATGTTGGAATAGCATTATTGGAAATAATGGGAAGCTAACAAAAGAAACCTTCACAGCTTTGTATCATACTATTCATGCAAAAGAACTGACCAAATATTGCAGAGAAGAATTGAAAATGATTTATTAGCTGGTAAATTTCAAACAGATCACCTTGAGGATAGATTTGGCAAGTACCAGCAAATTGGTGGCAATCAATATAATATCTCTATACGTCAACTATATGAGTGTGAAAAAAATCAGAATAATGTCAATTTTAAAATTGAGCCTGCCATTTAATAACCAAAATATTGATTTGAAAATTTACATACTAATTAGGATGGAAGGGGAGCAAAATGTATATATTTATAAACTTAACATAGATTTAACAGATAAGGATGTTAATGAATGCAAAGAAATTGTTTCTACTATATTATTTGTAGCAGGTTATTGCTGTTATGCACTTTTTAAGAAAATGAAATGCAAGTGGAAGTGATAATGAGAACAAAATACCTGAAATAGCTATTTTTAAGGGATTAATAGGGCTTCTCTGCTATATCCTAATGATACTACTACAAATTCTGTTATCTATAATTATATATTTATTGGTAAATTGACAAAAAAATTCTTTTTTTTCTTCATTCAGTAAATCAAAGGAAATTAATCATGTATATAACCTTATGTTTTGGTAGATAATGATCATTTTTTTCATGTGGACTTGTGGTGAGGATCACAGTATTGAAGAATTAGAAGGAATTCTTGTTTGGAGATCTTTAAATGTTCTTTCAAACAATTTTTGTGCTATTGGAAAAAAAATAATATTACTAGAAAGAAGTTAGCCAAAAAAAGAAAACTTCAAACCTTCAGCTAAATTTCCCATCTACCCATGTAACATTTATTCTACAATTATTTAAAAATTTGTTGTATTTTATTTTCTACACAACAAAAATGTCAATATTGTAACTTTACTACTATAGAATAATTAAAATAAAACATGCAAATCAAAAAAAAAAAAATATTTTTTTTTTTATTGTCAAGAAAAAAGTTTTCAAATAATTTTATACAATCAAAATAAGGAGAATGAATTTTACAGCCTTTATATTCAATAAATGTACACTATTTACTTTAACATAGCAACAAATGCAAAACTTTAAATAATTTTCCTTCAGAAAATGAAGTTTATTCTAAGGTAAGAATCAAAGCTTGGTTTCTTTCTTTTATAATGTAATTGTAATATAAAAAATATTCTATGTCAGTATAGTAACTTTATGGAATAATCATTAAAATAAAAACGGATTTTTAATCTATTATTTTTTTGTTCTTTATTTAAAGATGTAAGGTAGAAATCAAACTCTGGTTTGTTTTTCTAATATAAAAAATTATTCTGTCAATTTCAATTGCCAGTATCACAACTACAGAATAAAACGTTTTTTTAATATTGTTTGCTTGTTTTTTCTTTACTGTTATTAATTAATTATATTGAATAAAGTTCTAAGATGAAATTCAAACCATGGTTTCTTTTCTTTTTTTAATAGTAATTTAAAAAATAATCTATATTTAGAACAAAGTCTACAATCATTGATTTTCAGTAGCTTTGTTTTGGTTTATACTATTTGTGGTAATGTCACAGTTAATTGAACAGGCCTCCTGTCTTGGTGTTGTTGATTTTGGTGAAATCAAGTTAGAACAACATTTGAATAAAACTGACATGCATCATAAAAGTTGTTCTTTTATGTGCCATGTCTCTTCAGCGATCATGGCTCTCCACTTCCTCCTATCTGTTGTAATAAGATTTGTCTTTTTGCTACTTCTGCCATCCACTTGCTTAAGCCCGCTAAGTATGTCATGCATTATTTTCCCTTGTTCCTCTTTCCCTCTATCCACCCTGTGGGTATCAGATTTTTCAAGCCCTCCTTCCTCATTGTGTATCCCAGAAATTTAAGCTGGCTCTTTCTGAGGTTAAGTATAAGTTTCCTCTTTGTTTGCATCCTCTCCAAAACCTCATTGTTGCTCACATGTTAGGTACATGGTATCCTTAGCATCCTTCTGTAGAACCATACCTCTGTTGCCTCAAGTCTCTTCTTCATCTTTGAGGAGACCATCCAATATTCACTGCTGTAAAGGAGGACAGATATCACGTAGCAGTTCAGTACTCTTTTCTTTGTTATCAACGAAATCCTCCTGTCTCGTAATACTCTGCCTAGCTTTTGGAATGCATCCCAATATTTTGGATCTCAGTGTTGCACTTACCGCCCTCTGTCAGAACACTTCCCAGATATTTAAATTTCCACACTGGCTTTATTTTAGTGTCCCTGACCTGTAAATCACATTTTGGGTTCATCTTTTTGCTTATGACCATGCATTCTGTCTTCTTGTAGTTTATGCTTAGTCCTTTCTTCTCACTTTCCTTTGCTACCTTCTGTAGGAGGTTTTTTGTAATTTCCTTTCTGTGTCTGCTATCAGCACTGTGTCATCTGCATATCATATGTTGTTAAGATTCTGGCTGCCAATGATGAATCCTGGTAGGATTTCCAGTTATCTCAGAATTGGCTCACTGTATAGGTTGAATAAGTCTGGTCAGAAGACACGTCCTTGCCTTATCCTCCTTTCTATTTTTGTATATTTGCTGATCTCATTTTCTATCCATATGCTGGCCATTTGCTGCCAGTAGAGGTTCTTGATTATTCTAATATATTTCCCAAATATATCAAAGTTTCTGAGAAATTCCAACAGATCTTTGTAGCATACTTTGTTGAATGCCTTTGCGTAGTCTATAAAACACAGGTGCAAGTCCTTCTGCATTTATATTGCTCTTTCTGATAACATTCTGTGCATGAATATTGCGTTCTTTGTTCTGGCATCTTTAACAAACCAACACTGTTTTTGCCCATCTCTGGCCTGATTCTGCTGTTTGCTTTATTTATCAGAATATGAATGATGAGTTTTCTTATTTGGTTTATTATTGTTCAGTTATCCTAAATGTGAATCAGGACACATTTGGTGTTGTATCCTGAACTTTTAAAACCTTTTGATTACAGTTTTGTTTGTTTTTATTTCTTTATCGTTTGTCTAGGCCATTGAATAATAACCACATGATGCAAATGAGCCTTGAAAAACTTACCCAGATGGCACGTGAGAGTGAGGCTAACAACAACAACAACAACAACATTGACCAACGGCAGGAATTACGGCAACTGATGAGTCACAGACAAAACCAGAATCGTCAAGAATACCAAAACAAGCAGGAAATACTAGCTCAAGAGAAACAGCTGTTTTCCAAGAAGCAGGTAAGATTTTTCATAAAATTCTAGACATCTTCTTCATTAAAAAAATAGGATAGATTTATTTTAAATATTTTTTTCAGTTTAAGTAAGATAAATTAAAATGTTTCAAATTATAAACTTCACTGTCATTGATTGAATCTTGTTTCTTTGTTATTGATACACCTAACAACCTCAACCTCTGCTATTTGCATGTCAGACATAATCTCTCTCCTTGTAATAATTCATACACAGTTTGCATGTGAATAGTTACTAGTCACATGTTTGTGCAAAACTGTACAATGATCTGCTATTGTGACAGTCTAGAATTATAGCATTTTTGTTTTTTACAAAAATCAGTGTTTGTATATTTTGGTATTATAGATTTTACTTGTATATTTGGCCAACGACTAGCATCCTTTTGTATTTGTCTATGCACACATATATAGTTTTTTTAAACAATACTGACAAATTATTAAATTAAGTTGTTTTATGTCATAATTGTATATATATATATATATTAGAAAGAGAAAGGAACAGCATAATAAAAAAAATATTCATTATTTTGGACAGTTTCTGTCTTTATTTTCTTCTAAAACTAATTCCACTCTATGAAGCTTAGAACGGCTCATGATCAAATAGACATTCATTGTCTGTTATATTTAACAATATATGTTTGCATAATGATCTGCTGCCCCTATACACTAAATTATATATATTCAGTTGTATGGATATGAGTTTGTGACTCTAGGTTTCACACTTTTGTGATCATCAGACAAACTGGTTTATTTTTTTAAAATATGTATGATATAATATGTTAGCTCTATCCTATCACTGATATTGAGTACTTTCCAATAAGTACCATCCATATAATATATATATATATATATATATATATATATATATATATATATATATATATATATATATATATATGTGTGTGTATGTATTTTCAAGTGGGGATCTTTTGGTATTTTAGAAATTAATTTGTTTTTCATAAATAAAATGAACAATACAATCAAAGAAACCAGAAAGATATATAAATAAATAAAAGTTGCTCCAAAAGTAATGCTGCATATTTTATTATGTTTGTCCATGATGTCAGAGGGATGGTAGTTGAGATTGATCTTTTTCCCCTCATATCCTATGGCTCTTTTACCTTATTACAAATTGTAGTTGAGTGGTAGTCTGGCAAAATGGCACATGTACTGTAAGTGTTTCATTAAATTCATCTATATAGAAAAATCACACCAACTTACATTCATCAACACTTACTGAATGTTTATGGAGACCAAATAGTGAATGTGAGCACAAGTCGGTGTATGATGCATTTCAGCAGTTGCAAAAGAGATGTGTGTAACAAATCATATTTGACATGATAGACTATGGAAACATTTTCCTGATGATAAAATGGGAAAATATAATTTTGTAGCTGAAAATTTGCTTTATCCAATGGTATTATTCTATTATCACCTTGGAAATATATAGGATGCATTAGTTTTTTAGCTTTATCACCTTGCTTAAAAAACAAAAGTATCTGTGGGCTCTGCCATAAGATCCCTGGCAACAACAGCCTAAGATCAAAGTAATGCTTCCTGGCACTTCTGTTTAGAATCAAAATGTAGTATCTGTGCACTGTGAAAAATGTCATCCACAGAAAAATATACTTTTGAACATTATATAAATTTAAAAAAAAAACTAAAAATTAAAGATTTGGTAAGATGCATTGCAATGTAAAAGATAATATAAAGATCTTAGACAAGAGTAGGTAGACATTTAATAAGAATATTTGAATTGCTGTACCTTCATTCTAAAGCAAAACTCTGTATGGTGAGGTATTGGGTGTTATGGGATATTTGCTCAAATAATTGCTTGGCATAAATGTCAACTGATGGTTCTGATAATGGTAATTCTGCAGACAACTCAATTTCTCTGAATCAATTGGCCTTTTTCCAGATCAATACTAGACTTGGAAGACACTCATTCTTTATGGTTTCCATTCTCCATATTTACATATATGCTGAAAACTGGAATTAACAACAGTAGAAGATCAGAAAATTCTTATCAAAATGTAAATGTTTCTTTGAACTGAATATATGCTGTAAAACCTAAGTGTGCCTACCATAGAGTACTAGTCTTCCAAATGATGCTTTCTTTATGGGGTTTTCCATTATGAAAACCTTGTACTGTTGTGTTTCTCTTGTTTACTCAACATTAAAAGCACAGCAATAATGCAAATAAGCTTATTAACTGTCTCCCTAACAGTGTGTAACAGGCAAGGACAAAGGCAAAAAAACAACCAAACCACTCCACCTGCATTATTTATATGGCAGTGCATTTAGAATATTATAGAGAGTTCTACAACTTTCCATTCAATTCTATTGAACAGATTTGCATGTGTGCAATTTGCATTAGAAAGATTCACATGCTAGCGATCTTCATAACACCTCCACACCAAAACTGATGCTACACTAAAAGCATCAACAACAAAGTCTCTCTCTGGGTTTGGGTGTTCTTGTAGATTGTCTAGGGTTGTTTGGTCCATATTCTAGTACAAGCAGTTTGGTCCGGGGTAAAAGTGGTCTGGTTTGTCCCCGAGTTTGAGGCATTTCTTTCAAGGCCTTCATTGGATGATCAGTTGGAAGTTCAGAGACATTCTCATAGCTAGGTTCATAGTCCTCCACAGAAGTGTAGCATGGATGTAGCTGTTCCCAGTGTCATCTCCATACTGGGCCATGAAAAAAAACCTTGACATTGAAGCAATGAATATCCAATGATTTTGTGACGACTGCTGGTACCGATCAGGGATGATTGTCTTGGTGATGTCCAAAGTACAATGCATATACTGGATCACCATTCTTGTACTGCCTGGTTACCTTGGTGATACTTCCAGAGTTTGCAGTCATCTCAGCCTTTGATGATACCTTGGATTGCTTGCTCTGAGATATGTGCGCTGGCAAGGGCAGTAGAGAATCAATCCTAGTCTGTATCTGTCAGGACATCAAGAGTTCACTTGGAAAGAATCTACAGGATGTCAGCATTCTCTGGTACTGCATCAAGAACTCTTGAAGAGCCCACTTCAGGAGCAGAGAAAACTTTCTCAGTGATTGCTTGAGAGTCATCACCAAAACTTCTGCTGCTCCGTTAGTAGTTGGATGGTATGGTGCTCCTGTCAGGTGCATGATCCCACATTCTTTGCACCAGCTCTGAAATTCTTCAGAAAGAAAAGTTAATGTATTATCCATAACCAGCATGTGAGGCTATCTGAAGTGAGCAAAATCCTCTTCCAACAGATCTAGAATGACTCTAATGGATATGGATGATGTTGGGTGAATACATGGATACCGTGAGAAAGCATCGGTGATAACCAACCAGTTCATGCCCATGAAATTGATGGCATGATCCACTTTAAGTGGCTTCATGGCTTTTTTGGCAACATCCATGGGTGAACTGCAGGCTTGGATGGCTTATTTTGATATTTGTCGCATGAGTCACATCATCGACTAGCCATCTCAATAGCTCTATCAATACCGGGCAAGTAGTCAGCGACTCTTGCCAAATGCTCCATATATTCCATGCCAAAATGTCCAATATGCAGTAGAACTAGGATATTGGGCTGTAGGCTCTGTGGAATCACAACTTTTGATCCTTGGATAAGGCATTCGTGGTAGATACTGAGTGAATCCAACAATTTCTGGAACTTTTCAACTTCATCGCTGGTCTCAGTGTGCTTCGGTGGCCACCTTTCACAAACATAGCGAATCACTGTAGTTATCAATGGATCTTTTGCTGACTCTGGACAGAGGATATTGGCATCTACAGGTTTGACTTGAAGACTAAGAACTTTGATGGTGCACACCATGTCCATCTCTTCTCCACTTTCCTCAAAACTGGAGTTAACATCAGTGGAAGATCAGAAAATTACTTGGCGAAATGTAAATGTCTCTTTGAAATGAATATATGCTCTAAAACCTAAGTGTGCCTACCTAAGTCTTCCTAATGATACCTTTTTTTATGGGGTACTCTACTATGAAGACCTTGTACCAGATTAGACTATATTCAGTAACTATCTACAAGCACCTCCTGTAGAGCAATAACTGATACTAAATTTATTCCTCAGTGAGTGTTCAGTTATTTTGACCTTATGCTAGACTAGGTTATACTTAGTCTTGTAAAAGTGCCTACTTTAAACTGTAAAACCATTTATGGTATCATGATATACCAATTTTATTTATACTGAATTCACAAACTGGATTGAAAAACCATTGCTAGTACATTCATTTTGGGGAAAAGATAGATTTTTATATACCCAGACAATGCTAAGAAAATCAATGACAAAGCATTTACTAAGATGAAAGTGCATAGAAAGTGTGTTAGTCATTAGATCATCCACAGTAAATTTGTGTCCAAGTTCTTATAACCTTTCACCTTTCTTTACAGATTTTCCATTATCATAATGTGGGATGTTTAATAACAAAAGTGATAAAAACATCATCAAAAAGTCAAACTAAATTAAATTGGCCAGGATATAAACCCAAACCTATATATAAAAAAAAAAAATTAAATTTAAAAGTTTAAATTTTTAGCATCCCTCTCTTCTTCATACACATGAATTCATTTTTCAATAAGTGTTATAATATGGTAAGCTTTGTGCCATGCTAGGTTTGTTAAATATCTGAATAGCTGTCATTGTAGATTAGTCTTGAAAGTTTTCTGCTTTACTATTATGGCATTGTGCTATTATGTTCTATATGTCCCTTTAGGACATGGTCAATTGTGGCTCTCCACAACCTCATATCACTTGCAGTCCTTAGCAGCATTTGTCACTTTAGCAAGCCTCCTGCCTCCTATTGCACACTTTCTATTCACACACGCACACACACACACTCATCAGGTAGGGGTTGCCTGCTGATTTGCCCTGTCCCTCTTGTTCACAGTATGCCCTCCTGTGAGTCAACTTCTCCAAGCCTTCATTCCTCGTTATATGTTCAAGACATTTCAGCTGCCTCTTTCAGATTGAAAGTCTT